AATGTATTAAGGCTGAAATTAATGGTTCTATTGACATCCCTGATACTGCACTGGGGATAGCCTGGAGGACGTAAGGTTCAATACACTTAGCGCTGAGACGATCGGGCAATGCTTAGGTAAAGTTATTCATCACTAGTGTGAAGACAACCAACACATCACTGTGGTGCCAAAGATTTAGAAACTTCTCGGGCCCACAGCAACCGGCCCCGACCCTGTAGTGCCATTTCGTGACCCGTGAAGATCCGTGGTTACCCATGCTTGTCGTAAGAGGCGACTAACGGGATCGGGTGGTCAGTCTCGCTGACTTGGTTGACACATGTCATATCTCAATTGGATAGATCGATGTTCATGATGCTCAATCACGGGATTATGTGATCTAGATTCGATAATGTACCGACTACCGAAATGATTATTACACATGACAATTCTTTTCCAGGAGAATATGCCTACGTCACTTTAGACCATTCGCTTGAAGGGCAAGATCAATGCACATTACCATCAAATGTCAAGTTCACGGTGGAGACTGGAGATGAAACGTTGACCTTGAACCTCCGCAGAAATGACCACGTTCATCCAGATGTCCCCTCCTATATAATTGAGATGAGGGACAACGGTCAGACTGACTTCATCCACGAGGAACAAGCGAACTCTGAGGTAGGGATCAGACGGGGTACTGTGGTGGCGTGCATTATTTGTACCTGGGAACCTATCCCATAGGCGCACCCCTTCAACCCCACCCCCACCCCCTTTGTACTGAACGATTGATAAATGACCATTGAAACTCTCGTGGAAACGGGTGAAAATGAAATGTGCACCCCCTTTCTCAAGACTGCCTCCCCACCACCCACCACCCCCACTACCCCTTTCTCTAAAAGCTGAATCCGCCCCTTATCCACACAGTGTTCGTAGGGCTACGCCGTTCGTAAGCCAGTAGGATATAGTACACAGTTACGATATGTCGTAACGTTACGACCGCTTTGTGGATCGGAGCCCTTGTGACGTTACATAGGAATGACTTAGGAAGCGATCATTCAATGCTGGGGTTATCGGGTGGTCAAAGTCATATATCATGTGGGGACATAGAGGGAGAAGGGGGAAGAGGTTGTTTCAAGCAGACCGAATAAAATATCAGTTTATGACCCATGACGACCATTCTCCGAACAAATTCTGTATTGTTGAGGTTATTAAGTGGCCAGGATTAACGACACACAGGTTCCGGGGAATGTCCATTTCTATAGACGTCCAACACTAGCCATCAGGGGGCGGTGGGGTAGCCTAGTGGTTAAATCGTTCGCCCGTCGTGCCCGAGACCCGGGTTCGATTCCCCATAGGGGTACAATGTGTGAAGCCCAATTCTGGTGTCCCCGACGTGATATTGCTGGCATATTGCTAAAAGCGACGTAAATCTATACTCACTGACTCACTCACACGTCAGGAAGAAATTCACTTACTGCAACCTTTCATTGAACACGCTACCAGCACACTTCTTTTCAGTTTCATGGACATTGTCTCCAGTTCCTATATTTCCATTTGCTGTACCGGTCTGAAACTTATGGAGGAACACGGAAGTATGTTTCAGAGTTTACAGGATGGTCCAATAAAAAATTAAAACGTCCATATGAAGAAGTTCATCGTTACCACAAGCCTTCCTTCTTCTCAGTGTCAGGAGAAAGAAATAGAACTACAGACCCGTGCCAGTTATATTCGGACACTTGACGTCATTTCCATAGACTTACATGTTAATTTAGTGTAGCATAAATAATTTTCATGAATTGAATTTTCGTATGATCCTCGTCAAATTTTGCACATTTGTGAGGAATCATCTTACCTACAATCACATAATTTCTGTTTAAATTTCCGTTGCTTATTTATCGAATGGCAACAATTTAATCAACACATGTACAGTGCCGTGAACTCCTTTAACATGGCGGCCTATGGGATTGTGCATTGTGGAACTATACGTAAGTTGGTAAATGTGATGTCATTAGTTAAATGATGGTCGGAAAATTGAACTGTAATTATGTGCGCAGAGCAGAGATGATTTCAAATTTGCCTGTCAAATTTGTAGAAAGAAACATCCTAAACTCACTTCATGAAAATTATTTATGCTACACTGAAATAACATGTAAGTCTATGGAAATGACGTCAAGTGTCCGAATATATATGGCACGAGTCTGTATTTGTTTGTGTTCCATGATTATCTTCGTTAGTCCACACACAGACATGATAGACAGACAGACAGACAGACAGATAGTACATACCCAAACTTCAAATTTTGTTTTGTTGATTTTAAAAATTCATTCATTTTAATAGCGATCGCTGAATACACAGATTGTTGGATGCAAGAGTGATGAATATTCATTGTTCCCACCTCCAACCACCAATGATTGATCTCTTAGCATGTTTAACATCACATAGTTTCAGTGAAGAGTGTATTCCACCATGTTCAATGTCCAACAATTCTCTCCTAGTTACGCGCTGCCTACCAAGACCCGGACCACGAGGCGGCTGTCTTCATCACATGCACGGTGTCTTCCGCTGGGGCTGAATATGAGATGGTGAGCACAGGCCCTCGTGTCTTTGCGAAGATTAAAGATTTTTTTTAAATAATCTTTTGAGATGACCCCGTACTATACATGATGTATTGTACTGTGAAGCTTTTCGAGGCGGGGGTGATCTCAAATGTTTTATGTGTTTTAACATCTTAAATCCTCGCAAAAAGACACGAGGGCCTGTGATGGTGAGGCGGAAACAGAGTATATATGATAGCCATCGATATCTTTGTCCTGAATGTACAATGTAGCCCTGTAGGACTGTAACACAATTAACATTTACGGCGATGTAAACATATATCGTTGGTAAGAATAACCAGTGATCAACAACAAGAGCACAGAAAGATGCACCTGTGACGATCCGGGTTAGAATTGGTCTCAGTAGCCCATGCTTGTCGTAAGAGTTGACTAACGGGATCGGGTGGTCTGGCTAGCTGACTTGGTTGACGCCACAGTCCGTGCTGTATTTCTTTACTCTTGCTTGACAACGGTATACGTATCTATACCGAAACGTCGCATTATAAAAGTTGTTTTCCATAAAGCATCGTACTTTTTCTTATTGGTTGACATCATCGTATACCAATAGCATCGATCGATGTTCACAAAGTTCATCACTGGATTGTCTGGTCCAGACTCGATTATTTACTGACCGCCGCCATATAGCTGAAACATTGCTCCTCCAGCGTGTAATTACATAAATGTATGTCTCATGTCCTCTTCCAGGAGGGTAGCCTGTTTGTGGGTAGCGTCAAGTACCGTCTCCTCCCGTCCCAGTCCACAGTACCCTTCTACCGCCGGCTGTTTCACTCGGGGACAGAGAAACTCTACCACGTGATCAGAGCTAAAGAGGACCTCCCGTTTGATGCCCACATTACAGGTGAGCAAACATTGCTGCATAGTTACAAATGTTGGAAATTGTGTCACAGTGAGTGAGTGAGTATGATTTTACGCCGTTTTATTTGCAATATTCCAGCAATATCACTGGGACACAAAAAATGGGCTTCACACATTGTACCCATGTGGGGACTCGAACCCGGGTCTTCGGCGTGACGAGCGAACGCTTTAGCCACTAGGCTACCCCAAAATCCCATAAATGTGTCTGAAAGAGAGTCAATTCTGAATTGAAAAGGGGCGGTGGGGTAGCCTAGTGGTTAAAGTGTTCGCTCGTCACGCCGAAGACCCGGGTTCGATTCCCCACGTGGGTACAATGTGTGAAGCCAATTTCTGGTGTCCCCCGCCGTGATATTTCTGGAATATTACTAAAAGCGGTGTAAAACTAAACTCACTCACTCACTGAATTGAAAACATCAGTTTAAGATTATATGAAGTCGTGGTTTTAGTCCAGAAGTGGATCAATCAATATATTACACCATTATAGTGTTTGTTTGTTTGGCGCTGCGCTCATCAGTATTACAGCTGCTTTGTCTCTTGTAATTCAATCTGAACCCAACAAACAAGTGACTGACATGTATTTGTGTATTGAATACTATACGCTGACAATACAATAGATATGTCATAAAATTATATATTTATCATTCATTACAGTAATGTGTCTTTTTATACATTCCAGTTGAGAAGTATGAAGAGATTATCAGGAGGAGTCTCGACGACATCCGGTTACCCCCCGCACGTGCTGCACGTGAAAAACGTGCAGTTGATGACCCTATAACCTACAATATTGACATCATAGCTCTGTTGGACTATTCGCTTGTCAAAGTGTAAGTTGTTTGCGTGTTTGTTTCTTTCTTTCTTTTATTATTTGTTTGACTCCGCACTCGACTATTTTCGAGCTTCATGACGGCCGTCTGTAAATATTCCAATATGAACCAGACAATCCAATGATTGACATCATGAGCATTGATCTGCGCAATTGGGATACGACACTGGGTCTTTCATTAACCATTAGCCTGATCACTCGACTGTCCTAGGGCCAAGGTTTTAATCATCAAAATGTTTCTACTATTTATTGTATGGCTTGTTTTCGTCACGATATGGCTGCAATATTGCCGATTTGACGTTAAATATTAACTCACTCACTCACTCACTCCTTGGGACAAGCGTGGTTTGCTGAAGACAAATTCCAACCCGTATCAACCAACCGGGTGTGTAAGGTTTTGTTTGTTGTTTTACGCCGCACTCAGCAATATTCCAGCTATATGGTGGCGGTCTGTAAATAACCAAGTCTGGACCAGACAAGCCAGTTATCAACAGCATGAGCATCGATCTACACAATTGGGAACCGATGACATGTGTCAAACCAAGTCAGCGAGCCTGAGCACCCGATCCCGTTAGTCGCCTCTTACGACAAGCATGGGTTACTGAACACAGGCCCTCGTGTCTTTGCGCGGATTAAAGATTTTTAAAAATATATAAAAATTTGAGATGACCCCCGACTCGAAATGCTTCCCAGTACAATACATTAATGTACTGAGAAGCATTTCGAGTCGGGGGTCATCTCAACAACAATTTTTTATAAATCTTTAATCCTCGCAAAGACACGAGGGCCTGTGTTACTGAAGACCAATTCTTACAGGGGTCTTCACGGGTCAGTGTGTAAGATAGTTCAGTTATATAAAAGCACGTCAGCAAACATGCTTACCATTTTGGTGAAGCCTAAGAGTACTGTTTGGTGCTGAAAAACCAAGAATATTCAGCGAATCTGGGATTCGAACCAAGGCACCTAGCGCGGGAGGCGTCTGGGTAGCCTAGTGGTTAAAGCGTTCGCCCGTCACGCCGAAGACCCTGGTTCGATTCCCCACATGGGTACAAGATTTTAAGCCCATTTCTGCTGTGCCCGCCTTGATGTTGTTTGAATGTTGCTAAAAGTGGCGTAAAACCCAACTCACTCACTCATTTGAAACTACACCTGAATCACCTGACTCGATAACAAATATAATATCCAGCTTAAGAATTCCTTTATTTAATCATCATTTCATATCTTACCACACACTGGTTGAACTCGATTACTTTAACAAGGCAGTTTACGGGATGAAGCAACAATATACCCTCAACCGATTCATGTCGTTAAAAGATCTAATCAGAAACTACTGGACCGCGAACCAGCGTCAAACCCACTGGGTCAATGTGACAGTGATGTTTAATAAGAGGGATGGCAACGCACAGGGGTAACCTTGGGAAAAACACACATCACAACTAAGTCTATGAAAACATAAATTAAATCCACGATTTCAAAAGAAATATGTAATAATAGAGTACGTGTGTTAAGTCATTCAGAACTATATAAATGTTGTCAGCAGAGGTTTAAGAGAAGCCATACCTCTCAGTGGCAAGTATCAAATGTTTTTTCTATTGAAAGTATATCAACGTTTCAATAATACATTAAAATATTTACCGTCCTGGCGCTTAGCAAGCCCTCAAAGAATACTACTACATATTTATAATATAATGACGTATGAGTATAATATCTTTTTATGTATGATATATTCTTATTTATGTATTACGTATTTTTGTGAATTTTTAAAAGTTAAATATTTTTATCAAACTTTAAAAAATTTAAAATACATAATAAACAAGAGCTGATGGGTATCGACATTTCTGAGATACCCCTCGTACTTTAACTATAATAGTTCTGGGCCCCGTTCCTCAAGCCGATCGTAGCGCTACGACAGTCGTAAGTCTATGTTAAAGTATGGGAGTTACGATCATGTTAGCGCTACGATCGCTTTGAGGAACGGGGCCCAGGGCACAAGTGTACTATATTACACTGTACATGGGTAGAGAGGACTGTATTTCTTAAATCGTATCTTTGAAAATATAATAAATACGACAATACCCGTTCCATATTAATAACACGTGTGTGTTTATGAATCACTATCAAATAGTGATGATAGCAGGTTTTCGCAAACAGTTGAGGGTAACCGGTAGCCAAACACAATGATACCCAGAACATATATACAACGTTTCAAACATTGTAAGGATCACGTGAACACCAATTCATTTCTCAATCCAGTCTTCGCTGGACCAATATATTTACGCAAAATTACCGAGCCAAAGAATACGTTGGCTATGTTTTTTTCAAATTGATTCAGGGAGGAGAAATGGTTACATTTAACAGTATTTATAGTTGCACATTTACATTAAAAAAACTCAGTATACTTTCTTTTGGCCCTTAGTATATGTATTTTATTTATTCTGTCATTAATGTGGATAAAACCACTTTCGTTTAAATAGGAATCGCAGAACGTATGAACACGTTTCAAACTAGCTGAATTCGTCATGACGAAGATCCGCTTCGATCCCCTCCATGGGTGCAATATATAGAGCCCCGCCGTGATATTGCTGACATATTGCTGAAAGCGGCGTAAAACTATACTCATTCACTCACTCATTCACTTATAGTTGTACACAACGGAATTCATACCTTACCTCCTCGAGTTCTGCTTTATCTATGCGATTATGAGCCTTAGCTAGTCTGTACCATGACACACTGTGACAAAACTGATTCACTCATGTTTCAGTTGGACGGCTCGGGAAGGGGGCGACACCGTAAAAGGAACAGCGGAAATGAAGAAATACTTTGCGCATGTCATTAACGCTGTGAGTTGGTCTGACCTATGGAATCCTAGAAGGGACATTGTTGCGTTGTCTCGTTGCCCTTACAAAAACCAACAAAAAGCGCCCAAATTTACCAGCAGCACTACACAGCGACAATGCGAGAACGTAACATATTGGCAATTGTTGTTTTACGCCGCACTCAGCAATATTCTAACTATATGGTGGCGGTCTGTAAATAATCGAGTCTGGACCAGACAATCCAGTGATCAGCAGCATGAACACCAATCTACGCAATTGGGTGAGTGAGTGAGTTTAGTTTTACGCCGCACTCTACAATATTCCAGCTTCATGGCGGCGGTCTGTAAATACTCGTGTCTGGACCAGACAATATAGTGATCAATAGCATGAGCATCGTTCTACGCAATTGGGATACGATGACACGTGTGGGTTACTGAAGATCAATTTTAGCCCGGATCTTCACGGGTGTCTACGCAATTGGGAACCGATGACATGTGTCACCCAAGTCAGCGAGCCTCACCACAGATCCTATTAGTCGACTCTTACAACAAGCATAGGCTACTGAAGATCAATTCTAACCCGGATCTTCGCGGGTATATTATTTGGGGGGCAATACAGGGGAAAATGCGACAATGTCCGTTCCAGGCTTCCATACTCAGCTCTGTTTAGGAATGTATACAATCGTCACATCTTCGTCTAACTAACAGGTTATGATTGTTAAAATAACGGTAATTTGCTGGACTGGGATTTCTGTAAATCTCAAAAAGCAAGATAATTTTTATCAGTCATGGTTTGAAGTCATAACACTAACACTACAATGTTGTTGTTTTCGTTTTGTTGCTGTTGTTGTTGTTGTTGTTGTTCACGTGTGTTTGTGTACGTGTCTAGTACATACCCAGCTAACAACTTCACGTTGTCACAATGTTGTCACGACGTTATGCTTTAGTTGTTTCAACGTTATTCTGTGTTCTTCCATTTACGCTGTCACAACGTTGTGGCCTGACGTTGTGAAACGTCATTCTTACGTTGCCACAAGGCTACGTTATTTGATACTAGCGTATATCAAGTTGTCTTAACGTTCTATTTAACGTTAACAGTCTAATCTTTTTCCCTGTAGTGAACAGTGCATAATAACCAAAGCAGAAATTCACTTCAATGTCTGTTCGTCAATTTTCATGCTGTTTTGGTCGTGTATTTTCTGAAGCTGTAGCTGAATAGTGAAGAATGAATCTCAGTCTCAAAGTGAAAAGTTTTACAGAAAACTCTATCGTGACACCAAGTTATAAGAAACGTTGTTATAACGTTGCGAGGAGCCCAAAGCATACGTTTCCTCAACGTAGATTTGCAACGCTGTTATTATATGGTGAGATGACGTTATAAAATGCCGTAATACTAACGTTGTGTCATGACGTTACCAATCTACAACCTTCCAACAACGTTGGGAAACGTTGTGTGTTAGCTGGGTTGTTGTTCCTTTAACAATCTTCATCTTCATCTGTACGGATCTACACAGATCAGGGGCCACATAGAATAAACAACTTTTTTAATGACTTAAATTGTTTGATAAATACTTTCCCAGGTAAAATCTCTGATACTTAGTTTTGCCATCCTTATTCGCAGGTAAGTCTTCGCTTTAAGAGCATCAACAGCAGCTTCACCAACCACGTGTTCAACATCCGTCTGGTGGGCTTCTTCATTGCTATGGTACGTATTAACACTATGAAGTTTTGCATCTCTGCGCCTAAGACTGATCTGATATTGTCAGGGAAATTGCTTCGCCTGGCTATGCTAGGATCCGCAGTGTAGATTCCAGCAGTTACATTTAGGTACAACTTTGTCCACCCGGGGAAAATGTTGTGGAGCAAATGAATGAATACGGTTTTACGCCGCTTTTAGCAATATGACGGCGGGGGACATCAAAAACGGGCTTCAGGTGTTGTGGCGCTGTGGGGAACCGAACCGGGTCTTCAACGAACGAAGCCTAATTCTCCAGAGTCAATGTTTTATTTGTGAATGTGGCATGGCTCTATTATTGTGACTAGGGCATAAAACAACATGTACTCACTTACAATTAAATGTTAGCTGGACAATAAGATAATTAATCAAACACAACTTTGACTTTTGTCCCAAATGACTTTATCGGCGCGTGTATATAAATACTAGATAGAATGAGTTCAGTTTTACGCCGCTTTTAACAAAATTCCAGCAATATCACCTCGGGAGACACCAGAAATGGGCTTCACACATTGTAACCATGTGGGGAATCGAACCCGGGTCTTCGGCATGACGAGAGAACGCTTTGACCACTAGGCTACAACGCCGTCCCCTATTTAGAAAGAAAGAACTGACAGTCTGCGTTACCGCCTTTCACTCAAAACCAAACTCCGGATTCAGCACTACAAATATATACTCTCCCAAAAAAGACCCGTATCTAGGAATTTCAACTGTATTTTTATGTTTATTTTGAAACATCTTGTAGGCTTTATGAGTCAATGAAATATAGCGAAATTGCACACTGAGAATGCAGACTTATCCGTCTTTGGCACCAACTCGAGGAAAGTCAGTTTGAGTGTCACATGGAGACGTGTGGTGGCGCTGAAGTCAATACCTCGTGTGACCACCGTGGGCATCCAGAACTGCACGGCATCGCCTCGGCATCGAACGAATAAGTCTCAGAATCTCGTGTTGCCCAATCGCAGCCAACTCTGCCTGTAGTGCCTGTGGGAGTTGCTGAAGTGTTTGGGGCTGAGGCTTACGGCGTCGCACCCGTCTGTCCAGGGCATCCCACAGATGTTCGATCGGGTTTAAGTCCGGTGATCTTGAGGGCCAGGGAAGCACATTGATGTTGTGGTTCTGGGGGAAGCCTCTCGTGTGACGTGCTGTGTGGGGCCTGGCATTGTCCTGTTGAAACAACTCCTTCTGGCGATCAATGATTGGAAGGAGGTGTGGGCGTAGGATTTCGGCACGGTACCGTTGAGCTGTCAGGTTGCCCTGGATCATCACCAAATCACTTCTCCTACGGCAGGTGATCACCCCCACACCTGACCCGGCCGAATCTGTCTACTTGGGGAACGCAAGCGTCGGCGAAACGTTCACGTCCACGTCTGTACACCCGCATTCTTCCATCGCGTCGTTCCAATAGAAATCGTGATTCATCACTGAACCAGATTCTACGGCAATTTGGTAGGTTCCAGGTCTGAACGTTGGTGCACCATTGAACTCGATGTCGGCGATGTTGTTGTCGAAGCACAGGGCCAAAATAAGGTCTTCTGGCACGTAAACCAGCCTCTCTCAACCTTTTCCTGACGGTCTGTGCAGAAAGCCTCCTCAATCCGGGTATTTGTCGAGCGGTACTGGTCGCCGTAGCTGTTCGATGACGCAGGTGATGTACCCGATGAAGCGATCCTGTGCCGCAGTGGTCACTTGAGGTCGCCCACTACGAGGGGCATCTGCTACCGCATTCTGCCGTCGATATCTCTCCAAGAGCCGTGAAATGGTGCTTTGGTGAACATATATGCGTCGGGCAACTGCACTTTGAGACTGGCCAGCTTCAAGCAAACCAATGGCGATATGACGGTTGGGTTCACTTAGACGTGGCATTTTGCGTTGGTCAACAATATTCCAAATACAGTGATAGTCGACAGACAGCGATCAACCTTTTATACCCATCATTGAGACTATCTCATCCCCAACCTTCACGTGCATTGCATGTGAATTGTGTATTCTGTGACACTACACGCCGAAATTGAAAATCATGCTATTAAATACGGGTATTTTACGGATGGTGCGTTTCAAAACATAAACACCATAGGACTCATAAACAGAGCAAAACCTTTTGTGAAATGAATCACGTTTTAATTCATTGCTACATGAACTTGCTATTTTCATGATGAGTTTCTTTTTTTTGGAGAGTATAGGTACATGTAAGTCACATCCTAAAAGTCTAAAGTGCCTATTTATGAAATAAATATATCAGTTTATATCATAAATGTGACCATACTAGGTAGGAATATGTTATCTTCAGAACGAGTCGGCCGCTCCCTGGTCCGAGGAGAACAGAGATCACATCACCACCAACAACACATGGCAACTCAACGCCACTGTAGTCCTAGATGACCTGAAGACGTGGGCCGGCTCTACCACAGACGTCCCTAAACACGACCACATCATGATGTTCACAGAGTAAACAGAAATATTCTTATACTAACGTCCATATCATGATGTTCACATGGTATCTATATAATCATCAATAGCCTTACTAGTAACTTCCATATGACTAATTAAACCGTAGTGGTTACAGCGTCCGCCTGAAGAGCGGAAGGTCGCGGGTTCGATCCCCGGCCGCGTCATACCAAAAGACGTTAAAATATGGTACTTGTTGGTCCCTGCCTGGCGCTTGGCATTAATGGGTACAACAAGGACTGGTCGGCTCGGAGTCAGTATATGTCTGAGTATTCATGGGGGTATTCATGCTTAACTGCGGCATGGTATCTCAGTGAGCAAGTACTATAAAATCAGCTTACGTCTGGGCTGATTCAAGCAGCCACACATACACATACACACGCATGCACGTCGTCATGTGAGCGAAATATTCTTAAGTACGACGTTAAACCCCATTTCACCTCACCTCACCTCCATATGACTGGTCTTATGTCCTCTGACGGTTCTTTCAATGAACAATCATACGTTCATTGAATGGATGCACACATTACACTCACGTTCACTGAGTTCATTATGTTGATATCCTTACATTCATCTTGACATTCACACCAAGCCGAGGACATGTACATGTGTCGGGATATGCTGTATTGAAAACGTAGAGTGTTATATATTTATGATGCCTGGTATGGAATCCGAGAAGGGACATTGTCGCGTTGTCGCATTGTCGCCCTCTCAGAAACAAGTAAAATGAGGCAAAATAAGCCAAAACGCGACAACGCGACATTTCGCCCATTTATTTGTCGCTATGCCACGTGTCGCCCTTTGGAGGAATAAAAAAGAATATTATTCAAAACGCGACACGCGACATCGCGACAATGCGACAAATGGGCGATATGTCGCGTTGTCGCGTGTCGCGTTTTGGTTAATTTTGCCTCATTTTGCTTGTATTTGAGAGGGCGACAACGCGACAATTCGACAACGCGACAATGTCCCTTCCAGGATTCCATAGCCTGGTGTGTTAGCCAAATACCCATGATCGTGTGTTTCACCAAAATGGTAAACAGACGTTTATGGTATCAACATGGACGTAAAACGCACACGCCTACTGATCAAAGTATCGTTGAGCAAATCGCACTCACTCACTCACTCACTCATACATTTTTCGACGACCACTACGACATCTATCCCAGCATCATATACATATTATATCCCTGTCCTCACAGTCACGTACATGCACGATGTGTCACTGTGAACTATCAGACACACTGGTAGACGCAAATCCGATGTGTAAATTTATATCATTAAATTTATTTTCAGCTATGACTTGGTGACGGATGACAACGGTTTCCGCTTCAACTATACAACGGGTAAGCTCAGTTAGTAGTAGTAGTAGTAGTAGTAGTAGTAGTAGTAGTAATAGTAGTAGTAGTAGTAGAATATTGAACATGTTAAGTAGTAGTAGTGGTACTAGTAGTAGTTTAACGCCGCACTCAGCAATATTCCAGCTATATGGCGACGGTCTGTAAATAATCGAGTCTGGACCAGACAATCCAGTGATCAGCATCGTGAGCATCGATCTACGCAGTTGGGATACGATGACATGTGTCAATGAAGCCAGCGAGCTTGATCGCCGGATCCCGTTAGTCGCCTCTTAAGACAATGAGTTACTGAAGACCAATTCTATCCCAACGACACCCATGTGCGGCTCGTTGTGCAGCGTGTTAAAACAAGTTGATTTTATGGACGCTTCTCCCTATCTATCTCATGTTTGTAATCATAGTTGGACAATGGTTTTGGTTAGCTGCCTTGAACTGTATGGAGAAAAGAAAGTGCAGATCTAACAATGCTATGGTGCTGACAAATCAATAATCATAATTAGGACGTATCTAAGATTCGAACCCACGATCCATTAGTATTCTCATCAGACGACTACCACAACCATTCACCTCTGACATTTAAATCTATTCCGTACACAAAGAACTTAATTGATCACTCCCTGTATTTTAGCAATGATAGGTTTTCAACACGTACATAAAACACGAATTTTTCTGACCCGTATAATCCTTTGACTCATAAACAATGACAAAATGATTGGAGTTCATGTTGATTTTATGATGATAAATAGTCATTTTGAAAAAAATACAATGATTTTCATACAAAACCATGTTTGTACAAGTTTGGTCCTGGACAGTCAAAATGTCATTTTGCGCGTCTTGCACGATTCAAGGTCAATACCGAGTGTAACTTCCATGTGACTGTATGACAGCCAGCACTCTCCTCCTACTTCCTGTCTGCCTCCTGATCCTCTGAAGGACCAGTCTACGCCATTCCTCGTGTAAAGCAGCTTCCAATTGGGCTAGGTTCTGTACAGGAGGATCCCTTTTTTTTGCACACGACAACCAATCATGTCCTAGATATACCCCAAAGGGTTAAGATCGGAGCTCATTCAATCGTGAGATATGTCAAGGGGGTGCTTAACTAAGTTCTTTGTGTATATATCCATCTTGTACTGTATACGTCCATCAGTCAATGAATACATTTCTTCAGGGTTCGCCTATGTCGCCACCACGTGTGCTACCGACGGATCGAGCGTGTCTATAGTGGAGGACCATGGAGGCTTTCAAAGTGTCGGCACAGCCGCTCATGAATTAGGCCACAGGTGAGTCTGGTAGAGTGAGTGAGTTTGGGTTTACGTCGCTTTTAGCAACATTCCAGTAATACCACGGCAAGGGACACCAAAATGGGCTTCACGCATTGTACCCATATAGGAAACCGAACCCGGGTCTTCGGCGTGACGAGCGAACGCTTTAACCACTAGGCTATCCCACCGCCCTGAGTCTGGTACACTGAACAGCATGGCATCTGACCTAAGCTGAAAATACCACGTGATCTCTAGCCACTGACGGTTTATTGCCACGCTTTAGCGGATCATGCCCGGGGAGCATATTGGAGTCAAGCCCACGATCAGCAGAACCAAAGGGAGGCAACTCACCTCAGACCACTGGGTCATCCGTGTCCGTACTCATCAGGTGTCGCTACTTGTCACATTCTGCAATAACATAATCAGCTTCACGGACAAATACCTGAATATTACCTTTCTCCAACACGGAGAACGGGGGCGGTTAGGGTAGCATAGTGGTTAAAGCAATCGCTCGTCACGCCGAAGACCCAGGTTCGATTGCCCACATGGGTACAATGTGTGAAGCCCATTTCTGATGTCCTCTGCCGTAATATTGCGGTTATATTGCGGTAATATTGCTGAATGAGGGATACAACCATATAACTGATCCTATATACTTGCAGCCTTGGAGCACTACACGACGGGAAGAATAATACTTGTAGGTCAGAAGACCGGTACGTGATGGCATCAACATCCCACGATGAGTCGCCAGGCAACAAGTTCAACCCTTGGTACTTCTCCAGCTGCTCCGTGCAATACTTCGTGGACTACATCAACACTTCGATCACAGCTGACCCGTAAGATGCTTCATGAATATGCGTCTGTGTGCGCGCGTGTGTGTGTGTATATGCGCGTATGGTGAGGTGAGGTGAAATTGGGTTTTACGTCGTGCTTGAGAATATTTCGCTCATATGACGACGTGCATGCGTTTGTATGTGTATGTGCGGCTGCTTGTACTAGCCCAGACTTAAGCTGGTTTTATAGAGCTAGCCCACTGAGATACCATGCCGCAGTGAAGCATGAATACCCCACTCAGACACATTATACTCACTCCGAACCGACCAGTCCTTGTTGTACCCATTAATGCCGAGCGCAAGGCAGGGACCAACAAGTACAATATTTTAATGTCTTTTTGATATGACGCGGTCGGGGATCGAACCCGCGACCTTCCGCTCTCCGGGCGGACTCTCTAACCACAGGTTGCGGTTGCACGTATGGCTGTAGTCGTAGTGGGGTGTGTGTTGTGGGGAGGTCGGGCGGGGAGTTAGTGGAAGGCGGATGGGTTACGGCGGTATGGGGTTATTGGTTGGGCCGCACTCAGCAATATTCCAGCTTTAAGGCCGCAGTGTGTAAATAATCGAGTCTGGACCATCCATTGATCAGTAGCACGAGCATCGGTCTATACAATTGGGATACGATCTTCTGCAACCCATACTTGTCGTAAGAAGCGACTAACGGGATTGGGTTGACGCATGTCATCATATCCAAGTTGCGAAGATCGATGTTCATGATGTAGATCACTCGATTGTCTGGTCCAGACCCGATTATTTACAGATCGCCGCCATACAGCTGGACTATTGCCGTGTTAAACAACGAATCAAACCTTACCACGAAAACCCGGCTAGTGTATATTGGTACCTGTAGAAGGATACTGACTCGCTGCTTTTATTTCAGGAACAAAACATCATGTTTCATGGATCCCCTTCCGGTACTGGTCGGCATTCCTGACATCAGTGGGGAAATGCCTGGTCAGCTTCTGCCCCCAGATGACCAGTGCAGACAACAATTCGGCAACACCTCCTACCTGTGCAGAGTAAGATCATACAGATTTTAAAACTACCGCGCGGATGGTATTTGCTCTTAACGGAGAGTGAGTGAAGGTTGTTTTGTGCTGAATTTATAGTCTGTTTGCAGTGAAAACGTACCGATGAATTTCACTTTAAACAAAAAGTAAATCAAATAAAGTGAAATTAAGATTGCGAATCCTCATAATTTTACCTTGCCAATTGAACATTTGAATCTCAGAAGTTTATTCATCTTAGGATAAAAGTTGTTTAACAAACGATCATAGATTCAAATCGCTATTATTGGTTTGTATTACAAGGGGTAAGCACAATTGAATGAAACCCTGAGAACAAGATGGGTTGGTTTCTACGGTAGTCTGAAGTTAAAGCTCATCACGCACCCCACACGTGCATTTGCTTCACTGTTCCAACTACTGCGCGTACCCCTTGTAATACAAACCAATACTAGCGATTTGAAACTATGATCGTTTATTAAACAACTTTTATCCTAAGTTTAATAAAATTCTGATATTTACATGTTCAGTTGGCAAGGTAAAATTATGAGGATTCGCAATCTTAATTTCACTTTATTCGATTTACTTTCTTGTTTAAAGTGAAATATAGCAATTAATCCAGCTATTTTAAAAATAATAATGGATTTTGTAATAATAATAATGGATTTGTATAGCGCCTATATTCCACCACACGGTGCTCAACGTTGCTGAAATCCCAATCTGATTATTATTATTATCCGATAACCCAAGGCTGGGTTAATAGTCACATTACTTATCCCACCGGGTACCCATTTTCTGCAGGGTGAACAGAGGCAATTTTGAACAAACTCACTTGCCTAAGGTGAGACCACATGTATACACACGTGTCAACGGTAAATGCATTATGGCCACTAAGAAATATTAAACATGACAGAATAAACAAGGTAAAATGATAAACTTCTTCGTTTACACATTTCTTGTGGCGTGTCTGTAAACTGATGGTGAACATTTTGCAGGGAGTGGACTTCGACGTCACCAGTATCATCTGTCGTGCTATGTACTGCTACATACCTTCGATAAATACATGTCAGATGTTGACGGCCGCCAGAGGCACGACATGCGGGAACAAGAAGGTAGGTTACTGGTTGCCAGGGAAACATGAAGGTTGGTTACTGGCTTGAAAGGGAAACAAGAAGGTAGGTTACTGGTTGCCAGGGAAACAAGAAGGTAGGTTACTGGCTTGCCAGGGAAACAAACATGAAGGTAGGCGTTACTGGCTTAAGGGAAACCAGGAAAACATGAAAGTTGGTTACTGGCTTGACAGGGAAACAAGAAGGTAGGGGACTGGTTGCCAGGAAAACATGAAGATTGGTTACTGGCTTGACAGGGAAACAAGAAGGTAGGGGACTGGTTGCCAGGAAAACACGAAGGTAGGTTACTGGCTTGACAGGGAAATATGACAGTTGGTTACTGGTTGCCAGGAAAACATGAAGGTTGGTTACTGGTTTGACAGGGGAAACAGGTAGGTGAAACAAGGTAGGTTGGTTACTGGTTGACAGGAAAACATGAAGGTTGGTTACTGGCTTGAAAGGGAAACAAGAAGGAAGGTGACTGGTTGCCAGAAAAACATGAAGGTTGGTTACTGGCTTGACAGGGAAACAAGAAGGTAGGTGACTGGTTGCCAGGAAAACAAGAAGGTAGGTTACTGGTTGCCAGGGAAACATGAAGGTTGGTTACTGGTTGGCAGGGAAACAAGAACGTAGGTGACTGGTTGCCAGGACAAACATCTGAACAAGTAGCTGGGTTACTGGTTGCAACAAGAAGGTGGTTACTGGTTGGCAGGAAACAACATCTGGGAAACAAGAAGCTGGGGTTACTGGTTGGCAGGGAAACAACATCTGGGAACAAGTAGCTGGGTTACTGGTTGGCAGGGAAACAACATCTGGGAACAAGTAGCTGGAGTTACTGGTTGGCAGGGAAACAGGGAAAACATAGAAGGTAGGTTACTGGTTGGCAGAAACAAGAAGGTATCTGGGAACAAGTAGCTGGGTTACTGGTTGGCAGGGGAAACAACATCTGGGGAACAAGTAGCTGGGTTACTGGTTGGCAGGAAACAACATCTGGGAACAAGTAGCTGGGTTACTGGTTGGCAGGGAAACAACATCTGGGAACAAGTAGCTGGGTTACTGGTTGGCAGGGAAACAACATCTGGGAACAAGTAGCTGGGTTACTGGTTGGCAGGGAACAACATCTGGGAACAAGTAGCTGGGTTACTTGTTGTCAGGGAAACAGCATCTGGGAACAAGTAGCTGGTTTACTGGTTGGCAGGGAAACAACATCTGGGAACAAGTAGCTGGGTTACTGGTTGGCAGGGGAGAACATCTGGGAACAAGTAGCTGGGTTACTGGTTGGCAGGGAAACAACATCTGGGAACAAGTAGCTGAGTTACTGGTTGGCAGGGGAACAACATCTGGGAACAAGTAGCTGGGTTACTGGTTGGCAGGGAAACAACATCTGGGAACAAGTAGCTGGGTTACTGGTTGGCAGGGAAACAACATCTGGGAACAAGTAGCTGGGTTACTGGTTGGCAGGGAAACAACATCTGGGAACAAGTTGCTGGGTTACTGGTTGGCAGGGAAACAACATCTGGGAACAAGTAGCTGGGTTACTGGTTGGCAGGGGAACAACATCTGGGAACAAGTAGCTGGGTTACTGGTTGGCAGGGAAACAACATCTGGGAACAAGTAGCTGGGTTACTGGTTGGCAGGGAAACAACATCTGGGAACAAGTAGCTGGGTTACTGGTTGGCAGGGAAACAACATCTGGGAACAAGTAGCTGGGTTACTGGTTGGCAGGGGAAACAACATCTGGGAACAAGTAGCTGGGTTACTGGTTGGCAGGGAAACAACATCTGGGAACAAGTAGCTGGGTTACTGGTTGGCAGGGGAAACAACATCTGGGAACAAGTAGCTGGGTTACTGGTTGGCAGGGAAACAACATCTGGGAACAAGTAGCTGGTTTACTGGTTGGCAGGGGAAACAACATCTGGGAACAAGTAGCTGGGTTACTGGTTGGCAGGGGAAACAACATCTGGGAACAAGTAGCTGGGTTACTGGTTGGCAGGGAAACAACATCTGGGAACAAGTAGCTGGGTTACTGGTTGGCAGGGAAACAACATCTGGGAACAAGTAGCTGGGTTACTGGTTGGCAGGGGAAACAAACATCTGGTTTATTGGTTGGCAGGGAAACAAGTAGCTGGTTTACTGGTTGGCAGGGAAACAACATCTGGGAACAAGTAGCTGGCTTACTGGTTGGCAGGGAAACAACATCTGGGAACAAGTAGCTGGTTTACTGGTTGGCAGGGGACAACATCTGGGAACAAGTAGCTGGGTTACTGGTTGGCAGGGAAACAACATCTGGGAACAAGTAGCTGGGTTACTGGTTGGCAGGGGAAACAACATCTGGGAACAAGTAGCTCTGGGAACAAGTAGCTGGGTTACTGGTTGGCAGGGGAATCTGGGAACAAGTAAGCTGGTTTACTGGTTGGCAGGGAAACAACATCTGGGAACAAGTAGCTGGTTTACTGGTTGGCAGGGGGACAACATCTGGGAACAAGTAGCTGGGTTACTGGTTGGCAGGGAAACAACATCTAGGGAACAAGTAGCTGGTTTTACTGGTTGGCAGGGGAAACAACATGGCAGGTTTCACAACATCTGGGAACAAGTAGCTGGTTTACTGGTTGGCAGGGGAACAACATCTGGGAACAAGTAGCTGGTTTACTGGTTGGCAGGAAACAACATCTGGGAACAAGTAGCTGGTTTACTGGTTGGCAGGGGAGAACATCTGGGAACAAGTAGCTGGGTTACTGGTTGGCAGGGAAACAACATCTGGGAACAAGTAGCTGGTTTACTGGTTGGCAGGGAAACAACATCTGGGAACAAGTAGCTGGTTTACTGGTTGGCAGGGGACAACATCTGGGAACAAGTAGCTTAGTTACTGGTTGGCAGGGGAAATCTGGGAACAAGTAGCTGGGTTATTGGTTGGCAGGGAACAAGTTTATACTGGGAACAAGTAGCTGGTTTACTGGTTGGCAGGGAAACAACATCTAGGAACATAGCTGGAAACATTTGGCAGTAAACAACATCTGGGAACAAAGTAGCTGGGTTACTGGTTGGCAGGGGACAACATCTGGGAACAAGTAGCTGGGTTTACTGGTTGGCAGGGAAACAACATCTGGGAACAAGTAGCTGGTTTACTGGTTGGCAGGGAACAACATCTGGGAACAAGTAGCTGGGTTACTGGTTGGCAGGGGAAACACATCTGGGAACAAGTAGGGTTGGCAACAAGTAGCTGGAGTTACTGGTTGGCAGGGAAACAACATCTGGGAACAAGTAGCTGGAACTTACTGGTTGGCGAGGGAAACAACATCTGGGAACAAGTAGCTGGGTTTACTGGTTGGCAGGGGACAACATCACTAGGAACAAGTGGCAGCTTTCCACTGGTTGGCAGGAAACAACATCTGGGAACAAGTAGCTGGGTTACTGGTTGGGAAACAACATCTGGGAACAAGTAGCTGGTTTTTACTGGTTGGCGGGAAACAACATCTGGGAACAAGTGGCTGGTTTACAGGTTGGCAGGAAACAACATCTGGGAACAAGTAGCTGGGTTACTGGTTGGCAGGGGAACAACATCTGGGAACAAGTAGCTGGTTTACTGGTTGGCAGGGAAACAACATCTGGGAACAAGTAGCTGGTTTACTGGTTGGCAGGGAACAACATCTGGGAACAAGTAGCTGGAGTTACTGGTTGGCAGGGGAAACAACATCTGGTTTACTGGAAACAAGTAGCTGGGTTACTGGTTGGCGGGGACTCTAGGGAACAAGTAAGCTTAGTTACTGGTTGGCAGGGGAAACATCTGGGAACAAGTAGCTGGGTTATTGGTTGGCAGGGAACAACATCTGGGAACAAGTAAGCTGCTTTACACAGGTTGGCAGGGGACAACATCTGGGGAACAAGTAGCTGGTTTACTGGTTGGCAGGGGAAACAACATCTGGGGAACAAGTAGCTGGGTTACTGGTTGGCGGGGGAAACAACATCTGGGAACAAGTAGCAACTGGTTTGGCAGGGGACAACATCTACAGGAACAAGTAGCTGGCTTACTGGTTGGCAGGGGACAACATCTGGGAACAAGTAGCTGGGTTACTGGTTGGCAGGGAAACAACATCCTGGGAACAAGTAGCTGCTTGGCGTTACTGGTTGGCAGGGGAAACAACATCTGGGAACAAGTAGCTGGGTTACTGGTTGGCAGGGGAAACAACATCTGGGGAACAAGTAGCTGGTTTTACTGGTTGGCAGGGAAACAACATCTGGGAACAAGTAGCTGGGTTACTGGTTGGCAGAAACAACATCTGGGAACAAGTAGCTGGTTTACTGGTTGGCAGGGAAACAACATCTGGGAACAAGTAGCTGGGCTTACTGGTTGGCAGGGGACAACATCTGGGAACAACATCTGGGAACAAGTATCTGGGAACATGTACTGGTTGCACAGGTTGGACAACATCTGGGGAACAAGTTTCTGCTAAGTACATTGGAACACGTGGCGGGGAACTGGTTGGCAGGACATCTGGGAACAAGTAGCTGTGGTTTACTGGTTGGCAGGGAAACAACATCTGGGAACAAGTAGCTGGGTTACTGGTTGGCAGGGGACAACATCTGGGAACAAGTAAGCTGAGTTACTGGTTGGCAGGAAACATCTGGGGAACAGAAGTACAGCTGGTATACTGGTTGGCAGGAAACAACATCTGGGAACAAGTAGCTGAGTTTTACTGGTTGGCAGGAAACAACATCTGGGAACAAGTAGCTGGGTTACTGGTTGGCAGGGAAACATCTGGGAACAAGTAGCTGGTTTACTGTGGTTGGCAGGGGAAACAACATCTGGGAACAAGTAGCTGGGTTACTGGTTGGCAGGGAAACAACATCTGGGAACAAGTAGCTGGTTTACAGGTTGGAGTTAACATCTGGAACAGGGGCTTACTGAACAACATCTGGGAACAAGTAGCTGGGTTACTGGTTGGCAGGGGACAACATCTGTGGAACAAGTAGCTGGCTTTTACTGGTTGGCAGGGAAACAAGCATCTAGGAACAAGTAGCTGGTTTGGCTGTGGTTGGCAAAACATCTGGGAACAAGTAGCTGGGTTACTGGTTGGCAGACAACATCTAGGAACAAGTAGCTGGTTTGTTACTGGTTGGCAGGGAAACATCTGGGAACAAGTAGCTGGGTTATTGGTTGGCAGGGGAAACAACATCTGGGAACAAGTTTCTGGTTTACTGGTTGGGAAACAACATCTGGGAAACAAGTAGCTAGTAGTTTTACTGGTTGGCAGGGAAGAACTTGCTTGAACCAAGATTGGTGGAACAACATACTGGGAACAAGGAAGGAAACAGGACATCTGGGAACAAGTAGCTGGTTTTACAGGTAGTACACAGCAGGGAAACAAATGGAAGGGCACACAGGGAAACAAATATCTGGGAAAGGGAGTTACTGGTTGCACATGGACAAAATCCAGGGAACAAGGAACACACACAAGGTGGAACACATCTGGGGAAGGAAGTAATGCACACACAGTGTGGAACACATCTGAACAAGGTTGGACACAGCAGGTGGGGACAACACAGGAAGGAACACATGGTAGAACACACTGGAAGTAGCACACAGTGGTTACAGGACCACAGTGGAAACGACCCAACACAGCACACAGTGGACACACAGAAACATCTGAAACAAGGAAGCACTGATTGGCGAAACAACATCTGGGAACAAGTAGAAATGAACGACCAAGTTTACAGGGAACACACAGTGGATTAGACACAGTGGTGGAAACGACCTGGGAACACACAGCAGCTGGTTTTTGGCACACAGCGGAAACAACATCTAGGGAAATGCAAGCTGACAGGACAATGGTTTAGCATGGCTTACTGACAGTGGTGGAAACACGGGACATCTAAGGATGGACACACATGGAGCCACATGGAAATGCAAGACCTGGTTGACAGGGGATTACACACACACTTGGGGAACAAGTAAGCTGGTTTGACACTGGTTTGGAACAGAAGGACAAGCATCTGGGAACAAGTAAGCTGGGTTATTGGTTGGCAGGAAACAACATCTGGAACAAGTTTCTGGTTTAAGCCACACACAGGAAAGAACTTGCTTGAACAAGGAAGCACAATATGGGAAAACAAGAGGTACGTTGCTAGTTTGCAGGAAAAGGCGCAGCAACAAGAAAGGACTTACTGGTTGCCAAGGGGAACAAAATCCGGGAACAAAGAGGTAGGTGACCTTTTGCCAGGGAAACAACATCCGGGAAGAAGACGGTGTGTTAGTGGTTGACAGGGAAACAACATCCGGGAACAGAGAGGTAGGCTACTAGTTGCCACGGGAACTGAAATAAACAAATATTGATTTATAAAGAGTTTGCCTTCAGGCAATTATAATTTTTATCATATTGGCATGAACTGATCGCTTCATACAACACAGATATCTCGAACATGTTAACTATTAAACACGACTGTCTCCACTCTCCACTATAATGATATCGACCAAATGTGTTGTTTTATAATTTCATATTCTATCCAAGATACCTGTTCACTGGATGTTGAAGTAGGTAGCCTTGTAGACAAAGCGCCTAGATGAAGTATTCCTGAGTGTCCCGTACAACACCCACTCACTCACCCATCCTTCACTGGATACAATAGTTTTACTTCGCCTATGTATGACTAGAATTTCGTGGATGTTGGTTCAGACCATGGATACTTCTTAAGTGTGATCCTCTTCTCACAGGTAAATATGTAGTCAATTTGAGCTTCCTTACGTGTTTACCTGACCAAGAAGTACCGTTAAACAACGCTGAGTCGTGACCAGTCCAGTTAGTCTTTGTACAAGTTGTTGCAGATGTTCATCCCCTGCCTTCCTGTTTCAGTGGTGCATTAACGGAGACTGCCAAACAAGTAACAGTGCACCTGCAGCTGACGGTAATGCACATGCACTACTATTCTATTATAATGCAAAATAGCAGCATAAGCTTGGGACAGACCACTTCATATCTTCTGGACATCCTGTTCCTTAGTTATGGCTAAGTAATGAGTCAATTTCTAATTCCTAACAGATAGTATGATAATGACAAGTGTCCAATGGCTTCGACCTCAAGTTCCTGATACATGATTCAATGTTCAATGTATCAATACATGAATGTCAAATTAGGATAAATATCCTAGAGCTTTGATATCTTGATCCCAATAGATGAATATCATATTGTGATCAATGTCCATTGGCTTTGAAAGCTAGGTCCAAACAGATGAAAATGAAATGTCCTTGACATCTACATCCCAAAGGATGAAGATGAAAGTTTTATGAATGTCCATTGACCTTGACATCTTGGTTCCAAAAGATGAAAATCAAACTATGATCAATATCAAATTATCACCAAGGTCCACTGGCGTTGACAGCAAGGTTCTAATAGATAATTATGTTTGTTCGTGTTTTCAGTCATGTAGGTCCAAAAGACTGTATTGTTTACGAGTGTTATATTGAATTGCAAAGAGAATAGAACATAACCAAGGGGCGTTCATCAAACAACAACGAGGTAGTCCACTAAATCAGGTAGTGTCACACTAACAAACACGAAACACGCCTTCTCGAGTGTAAATTCGTTAAGATAATAATGTGGGCATTCGCCGGCAAAATTGGAACACCCAAATAGATTATTTATGAGTTGTTTAAGACATCTAGATGCGATTCCAGGCAACGTTCGAAATACCTGCCTGCTCGACCGCCCGGGACGGGTTATTTTCAACATGGACTGCCAGATTCTCAAATTCACCTGACCGACGTCGGGTTACAATTTAGACATGTATATGAAGATATTCATCATATTTCAGGATAATAAATCATTATTAATTCACTCGTAAAATAAATGACGAATTCCAATTGGATGATAAACTACGCCGCTTGTCAAACCAAAATTATTTGCGGGCAGGTTAGTTTTGGTGAGGGCTGGCAATTTTTACATCTAACCAGCCCTGTGGTCTGGATAAACTTTTGGGAGTTTCTGCTCCAGGTTAAAGAATTAATTTAATATTTATTACTGAATTGTAACAATATAGCAATATAGTAGTCTTCATACTTGTCATTGATTGTGAATCTGTACTGTTCTGACCGCGAACTCAAATCACACCATCCTGTGCCTCAATTTCTGTGTTGGTTGCAGACTCTTGTCCTCACGGTGATCAACCCTATGTCCGTACAACCACAGGAAATAGCCTTTGTAACGAAAGAATCACCAATCAGCCCGGTCTATGCTATGTCAGTGACTGGAACAGCACGTGTTGTAATTCCTGCAAGAGTGCATGTCAAGGAAAGGCAGGTGGGTGAGAAACCAAACAGGGGGTAACTATGACACGCTTCTATCCAAACTGTTGCGACAGTACTGGTGTAACCTGTGTTAATGTTAGTTAATGCTTATGTAATATTACTCGGCAACGTCGTTCGTGCGTTATTATACTCATGCCAATAATGGTTGTCAATTTTCTTAATTGGAGAGGGGTTGGGGGTGTGAGGTGTGTGTGTGTGTGGGGGGTGACAACCATTATTGGCATGAGTATATTTCATAGGCCATTGCCGCATCGTAACTGAGAAGATTCAGAGCACGATAATATTTCAATAACAAGGACTCATTTAGGTGTCTAAGTTTTCTATTTTTTCTATTAATTATATTTGTATTTTTTTATATTTTTATATTTTTATTTGTGTTTTTGTGTGTGTGCATGTGGAAGTGCGTGTGTGTGTCAAAAAAACAGTTTTGTGTGTTTAAAAACAACAGTTTTCTGCTAAATCCAACAGAAAGAGTGAATGAATTTAGTTTTACGCCGCTTTTAGCACTATTCCAGTGATATCACGGCGGGGGACACCAACAGAAAGTACAATGTATAATATGTAATGGAAGTTTTCCAGGTTGGAAACCAGTTGCTCTTCAAGAATAAACAACGAGCACTTCCTTCTCATTCATCAACTGAGAATTTAGCCTCTTCCTTCATCAGTTTCACGGACAAGATTCTCAACATCAGAAACATCTTGAGTAATAATAATAATAATAATAATAAAAGGGTGATGGTGAACATGACAAACGGCCTCCCATGGATGCCAATGAAAGGTTCTGGAAACAGTTGTGGTCTGTACCCGGCAACTGTAACCTTGAGGCACCATGGGTCCGTGATTATGACCATGCAATGCATGAGAAGGTAACTAGGTCGTTTGTCTGTTACATCTCACCAGATTGCCTGAAAAGTCCAAATCAAATACAGCCCAGCCTGATGGCATTCGAAATCGGTATTGGGAAACTGTTCCCCCTGTGTCCAAACACCATTACTACAAATTGTTTCAATACTCTTGTGGACACAGGTGATGTTCCCCCATGGTTCTCCAAAGGTCGCACAATACTTCTCCCCAAGAAAGGGAGACTTGACTGATCCCAAAACTTCCGCCCTATCAGGCATGTTTGAATACACAATACAAAATATTCAAGCAGGGTGTTTGACAAACCTCGTGTCATCTTACTGCTCTTCAAATGATATCATTTTCCACAGAGAGCAGAAGGGAGCAAGAAATGGATGTTGGGAGTTGCAAGGATCAACTTCTTGTACAGAAAATGATTTTGGGAAGAGGCTAAAACATATCACCGCTACCTCTCCATGTGCTGGATTGACTACAAAAAGCATATGACTCTGTGTCCCTCACGAATGGATTCTGAACTCTCTCATTGCATTTGACCTCCCTCAGCGACTACTTGATTTACTCCAAGTCTTTAATGAGTTGCTGGTCGACTCAACTTGAGATGTACTCGCTGGGGCAGGTAGTGTAGACTTCGGAATCTATTCCAACTGTAGAAGGATTCCTTTAGTCCTTTGCTTTTTTTGTCTGTCTTTAAATCCCTTTGAGCTTTCTGCTCCAATAAAGAGGAGGGTTACCATCCCGGACCCCTCCTCAGCACAGATCCCCAACACCTCTTTACTCATCTCCTTTATAGGGATGATATCGAGCTCCTTGCCAAAGGAGATACCAATTTTGAAAGAGCAGGTTCTCCTTTGTCCTTTCTGAATGATATTGGCATGACATTTGGACTCGACAAATGTAATACTCTTCATTTGAAACGTGGCAAGGTAATCTAATGATGGATCGGTCAAGGTTACAAGGGGGAGGAGTTATTGAGCATCTTGTGGAAGATCAGGCCTACACCTATCTTGGAATGCAAGTTCGAGATAAGCTCCAGAATGCCCAGATTCAAGACAAACTTCGGGCCGAGTACAAAATCTCGTTTAAAGAAAATCTGGAGCTAGGAGCTAAATGCTCGAAACAAGGTCAAAGCCACCAATATTTTGCTGTGCCGGTCCTCCTCCTATTCCTTTGGAGTGATTGATTGGACGAAACAAGAGACATCCAGAGTCTTGACCGCCTGACCAGAAGGATCATGTCTGATAACAGAGCCCACCACCCTCGTTCCTCCTCTTTAACCGTGTATATATGCCAATCAATTCTGGAGGTCGGGATTTGATTAATGTGGAGGCTCTTCATGACAGAATTTTATTGTGTACTTTTGCACATATTATTTTATTAATCGGATGATCCTCTGGTGATGCATGTGAAGACTCATGATGGAAAGCAAAGGAATTCCACAGCTATTTTAAGCGTGCCAAGGTTGTTGGACAGAATCTGAAATTTGAGGTTGACTTTGCTGATGGCGATGTACTGCTGGACGGTACAGCGATGGTAGTAAACCAAGGTGAAGTCCTTCACCAAGTCTGCCCAGAGTCAGTCTTTTTGTGGAGAAGCGTTCTGAGAAGCCATTGCATCGTGTGTACATGCAGTGTGTGGAACAGAATAGCAATCCCTCCGACTCCCTTCGCCTGGATGAAGTCGGTTGGTCTTAAATGTGAAACTGAGGGCTTCCTTTTGCTGCTCAGGACCAGTCACTTCCCACTTGTAATCGCCTAAATGTGATTCTTAAAGAGAATATTAACATGAAATGTCGACTTTGCAATGAATTCACAGAGACTGTCCAACACCTTGTCAGTGGATGCCCTTCCTTGGCACACAAACAGCATATCTTAAACGACATGATGGCATGGCTCGCTGCTTTACTACCGTCTCCGACATGCCTGTGGCTTTTCTTTGACTCGAGGTCCATCCATGGTACGACCCTGAACATGTCCAGGGCGTCATGGAATATGATGCTTTCAAACTTCTGTGGAATAGGCCCATATACAGCCTCAGAAGAATTCCTGCCAACAAACCTGATCTTGTCCTTTTGATAAAGCCAATGAATTTATATATATCATTGAATTTTCTGTCCCTTTGACAGGAATGTGATTGACAAGATCAAGGAAAAGCATGATAAATATGCGGACCTCGCCTTTGAAATGTCTCGCTTGCATCCCAAAGTACACTGTCGTCAGGCTCCCCATTGTTCTCGGTGCCCTTGGTTTGGTACCTCCTGATCTTTGGCGCAGATCAGGAGAGTGCCCGGAGTTCTCCACCGGGAGTACAGCCCTTCTGACACTCTGGGTAATGCAGAAGGCTGCAGTGTTGGGAGCCTTTATATTCTCCGGAAAGTTCTTGGTGGGTTCGACTAGGCAGCGTTTCCTGGGAGAAGTCCCATTCGCTGTCTGGGCTGCGTGTAGAGGGCAAGGGCCCTGAGCTGATGATGAGCCTTACCAGCCTGACTGTGCCAGGATCACCCGAACCCTCTCTGCTGCATATTCTCTATAATCTGTAAAAACATAATAATAATAATAATAAATCTGCATTTTATAATACGGGCAATGCAGACAGATATGCCTGCTCAAGACGCTACAAGGGGATTGTATAAAGATACAAGTCAGGGAGTGTTGACTGGATTTTATGTCACTATGATACTTGGAGAACATATAGGTCTTTAGTTTTGATTTGAATTTCTCAAAGGTTGGACACAGTTTCAACTCTGATGGAAATGAGTTCTAGAGGATAGGGGGCAGTGCTGGAGAAGGATCTGGAGCCAAATGTCTTCAGTCGATATTTAGGAACTTGGAGGAGATTTTGGTCACTTGATCAGGTTTACGTGCTGGAGTGTGTGGAGTAGTTCAGATAGATAGTCAGGGCTGGTGTTATGGAGGCATCGATAGGTGATACAGAGAAGCTTGAACACTATTCTAGCTTTTACTGGCAACCAGTGGAGGTCTCTGAGCACTGGTGTCATGTGCACATGTCTTGGTGTTCTTGTGATGACCCGTGCTGCAGAATTTGGCAACACCTGTAGCTTAGATAGCAGTTTACCACTGATGCCCTGAAGCAAACTGTTGCAGTAATCTAGTCTTGATGTTATTAGACCATGGGCAAGTACCTTTGCAGCTTCTGCGGTTATTAAATGTCGAATGTTGCTGATGGATCGGAGATGATAATAACAGGTTCGACTGTGTGGGTAACCTGTTTCTCCATGGAGGTGTGTCAAATACTGATCTTTAAACTATTTCCGTATCGGCTATCAGAATGGATTGTTCTTCTACTCTGGCCAACTGTTGCTTAGTGCCAATCAGCATCACCTCTGTTTTGCTCCATTCAGTTTCAGCTTATTTGCTGTCATCCGTGACTTAGTTGTTGCCGTACAATCAGATATGCGTTGGAAGGACTCCTGAAGGTTCTTGAGTTTGAATTTGTCCATCATTTGTGTATCGTCAGCATATCCATGGTGAAGAAGCGTGGAGTGTTGGATGATATTAGCCAGATTTGCCGTGTACATCTCAAGACGAATGTGCGCTCAATGCAGCGCGTGAGGAGGGGAACAGGTCAAAAGGGCCGCATGACAAAAACAATTTACTTTATGATTGAAAACAACGGGAGGTATATCGGAGTCAATCAATGTTGATATGATAATAATGAATGTTTTGAGAGTGCATCACCACTTGCACTTCATAATGACCATAGTTGTTTGTACAGTAATCGCTCTTGAAAGATGATTAATGTGTGTATGACGTGAATATGTTTTCATTTTCAAACAGAAAAACGGTTAGAAACAAACACTAACAACTGTGCGATGCAAGATCATTGCCAAAATTAATGGTCTACGGTGATTTTTTCGACCTTCTTGAAAAACGTCAAAATCAAGAATGACACCCCATGCACGTGTATGGGGCTACTGCGTTGTGCACGTGCGTTGTGTTTATGGGTGGTGATAAAGAGAAATGGTGGTGCGTTCTGTCTTTGAAGGTTTGTTAACGCCAATACTTTCTATCGATTTGAACCTTCGGGTTCCCCTACTTGTTTAGATTTAGATATAAATCCGTTGCAGGACTAATACAGGGCCGAAAGTAGCATTATTAAGTACTGACTTAATATGGATGTGGATTGTGTGGTATGTGAACTGGGTGTCATCGGTTCTCGAGGGCGTGGATGAGCACTGACTTGAATGTCCACATTATGTTTAGACATCGCTGGAATAATAGAGAGTCGTAAAACAAGGCTCATGTAGAAATGTAGAACACTGTCTGTTATAGGCTGCGAGTGCGGAGACCGACAAGCTGGCTGTCAGCTGCAATACTGTGGTACATATAATGAAAGTGTTCGCCAAGCGTGTTGCAAGACGTGTGACGGCAATACTACATCAACCACTTCCACCACCACCACCACCACGTCATCCCCAACAACGACTGTGACAACTACACCTATCACGTATCCAACGACGTGTACTGACGTATCGAGCTTTAGCGGTCGCAAGTGTGCAGTGCACGTGCAGGATGTGGGTCGACATTCCTGTTATGACACCCACTTAAACCGGTCCTGCTGCGAGAGTTGTAAAAACAAAACAATGTCCCAAACTTCTGGTGAGCATATTAATCCTATTGAATCTCCACAGTCGCATTGTATGCCAAATCTGTTACCATGTATAAGTCACCAAAAGTAGGATACATAATCAGGCGGCTGCTATATAAAGGGTATATTCCTTGTGCGGGGTAATACAATCAAACAATGGTGTGTCGAACATCCGGTTGTCCCGAACCTCGGATATGTCGAAGTAGTAGGTGTTAATGGTGTTTTGCTTTACATATGTGTATGTATGTGTGTATGAATGTGTGTGTATGTATGTATGTATGTATGTATGTGTATGTATGCATGCATACATGCGTGTGTATGTGTGTGTATGTATGTATGTATGTATGTATGTATGTATGTATGTATGTATGTATGTATGTATGTATGTATGTATGTATGTATGTATGTATGTATGTATGTATGTATGTATGTATGTATGTATGTGTGTATGTATGTATGTATGTATGCATGTATGTATCTATGTATCTATGTATCTATGTATGTATGTATCTATGCTATATCTATGTTTATCTGTTCCAGGTTGTGAGTGGGGGGACCACTTCCCTTCGTCATGTTATATGCTGTCGTTTTTCCCGATAGGGGCTATCTGTCCCTTGAACTCTGCGTTGTCTAAATACTGCTGCGATTCCTGCCAGAAACTTCAGCAGGCAGTGGATCTTACCGTGGCACCGACCACACCAGTACCAAGTAGCGCCCTACCAGCATCTCCTGCCTCCTGGCTGCTCGTGGTCTGTGGTCTCTATAACATACTCAGACTAGTTTGTGGAAACTGACCCTGACTTTAGTGTGAGTGAGTGAGTATAGTTTCACGCCGCTTTTAGCAATATTCAAGCAATATCACAGCGGGGGACACCAGAAATGGGCTTCACACATTGTACCCATGTGGGGAATCGAACCCGGCTCTTCTGCGTGACGAGCGAACGCCTTAACCACTAGGCTACTCCCACTAACCGCTTGTCGTACTAACTGGAGGCAACCAACGGCGGTCAGATTCGGTGATTTCGATGATGCGTGCCATGGTGTGCTAGCGGATAAATGCTCATGATGTCAATTACTGTATTCTCTGGATCAGACTCGATTATGGTGTGTTCTCTATTCGCCTACATCCCAATTCGCCTACAGTCGTAAAACAACATGTCACGGTCTCCTGACTGTTGATTACGCAATGATAAATTAGTGTCACCCCTATGATCTAAAAGTGGAGACTTCTAGTTGATCACAATTAAAAGATAATTTATTTATCACATATCACATCATATCATTTTCTGATCACAGGGCATTCAGTCGATACTTGTGGCCATCATGTAGTACCTGTCTTCCTCCTCTCTGAGACAAGAGGGCGGTGGGGTAGCCTAGTGGTTAAAGCGTTGGTTCGTCACGCCGAAGACCCGGGTTCGAATCCCCACAATGTGTGAAGCCCATTTCTGGTGTTCCCCGCCGTGATGTTGCTGGAATATTGCTAAAAGCGGCGTAAAACCAAACTCAGTCAGTCAGTCTGAGACAAGATCAACTCTGCCCTCTGCAGGTTAGCCATTGTGACTGTCAGTGATTGGCGAACACTCCATTGCATGTGGTTAAGTTGGTTTAAACCCTATTAGTAGCAGAAAACTGAGTATTTTACAGTGAGAAATTATCTCATCATTGCTTTTGCAATTTAGCTTATGCATTAATCCCTTCCATTTTATTATAACCCAGTTGTACCTTCTTAGTGGATACACTAATCACAGGCAAATTGTAGCGCAAATAAGGTTGCGCAACAAAGAGAAATTTACCAGTCTTCCCATATGCGAGCAAAGCGCTTTGCTCGCATATGGGAAGACTGGTAATTTTCTCTTTGTTGCGCAACCTTATTTGCGCTACAATTTGCCTGTGCACGAATCATCTCTAAGCAACTACATATCCGTCAATCAAGATTAGTATGGCCCTGACCAGTGAGTCAGGCTCATTATAAGAGTATGGCGGGTGCATTTTCTAATCCCAATTAGCCTATATTGTTTTTGTATGCGATATGGGTTGAAGGCGAATTGAGATGTAGGCTAATAGAGACTAAACCCACTACTATAGTGGTGGTACAGTGTATATTGTAGATTACTAGTGTATATTGTGACCAAAGCTGCGGTTTTAATTACTCAACAAGGGAGATAACTAAAACACGGTCATGATCTTAACGCTCGAAATGAAGCATTGCATAATATACACTGTGTATATGGAACAGCGTCGCAAAGCGGCATTAAACTCGATTCAATCACTCTTTTCGATTGTGTATAGAGGGCGTTGTAGGGCCCGATCATAGTGCAATACTTGCTCATGTTTGTTTATGTATATATAGATGTTGGTACATGTCACTTTTGATATCTGTTTATAATGATGTTATAATATTTCACTCAGTGACATGTGTTTAATGAGCGTAGAATCAAAGTGTCTGGGTGAGATTAGTTTTACGCCGCTTTTAGCAATATCACACCAGAGGGACACCGGAAATGGGCTTCACACGTTGTATCCATGCAGGGAATCGATCCCGGGTCTCCGGCGTGGCGAGCGAACACCTTAACCACAAGGTTACCCTGTATAGCTGAAAACGTCTTGGTTAATTTTCCGAAGTATGATTTTCGGTTGAAAATACTTTGAATAGCCCATGTCTTGTCTAAAACAACTGGCGCTACGTCGGCACGTCAAAATACTTGTACATGGTTATACATTATACAAAATTCAGTTGAGTAATAATTTCGCACAATAACACAAATCGCATAATCTACAATTGAAGACGGGTATCTAAGATACTTTATCTTTGAAAATCAATATTTCTTTCTCTTTTGGGGCACGAGTTTACATTTCAAACAGGGTAGCGGCCATGTGGTTGTTCGTTTCTAACCCCTTTCTTCACTGCACCAATCTAATTTTACAAGAAATTACCTCTCAACGATATATTTGGAACAGTTCCAAATATGAGTAATTAAATTATATTTAACAGGAGTTCTCTAAATTTTCAATCACATAAAATCCCAACTTGATGTCCTTTTTGCTTCTCCTCTGTTTGATTGTCTCGATTATATCGCTATGGTAATATTTGAAAACGAATCATGCTGATGTCATTGTTTGATTACCTAATGCATTGTTCTTCTGTTCTTTTAAATAGACGTTGGAATTTAGGGCGAGAGTGTACCCCAAAAATCCCGCGTTTGTTGTTAATGACGGCTCGTCAGTGTCGGGTGGTTAAGTTTGGTGTATTTCATGTTATCGTATTGTATTGCTCTGATCGATACTCTTGTCAATCACTGGATCGTCTGGTTCAGAACATCCTCATTAATGTTGGGCGCTAAGAGCTAAATCTAAATAGTTACGCACAATCAGTGCTTGTGCTTACGTTTATTTCACATTTTAATTGACCAATAATCCTTTAGGTTTGTTTATTTATTGTTAGTCGATTATTATGATGAAATATATATTTTAATTGGAATAAAATTGTTTTCATTTAATAGAGTTCTGTGCTGATGTTCATTCAAAGTCAGCTGTTACATACTGTCAATACATTGTGCAGGTCTTAAGTGTTTAGGACCCGTGAAGATTCGGGTTATAAATGATCATCAGCAACCCATGCTTGTCGTAAGAGGCGACTAACGGGATCGGGTGGTCAGGCTTGCTGACTTCGTTGACACATGTCATCGTATCCCAATTGCGTAGAACGGTGTTCGTGATGGTGATCACTGGATTGTGTGGTCCAGACTCGATTATTTACAGACCGTCGCCATATAACTGGAGTATTGCTGTGGTGAAAATAAAGATATTTTGGGCGTGTGGTTCCTGGTACAACTGGGAGATTTTGCTTAATGATGCAGGAAGTTTGCTGTTTTACTGAATCTGCATCCGAGAGGTTACGTCACGGATAAAGTGAATGTAAAGAGAGTGAGTGAAATATTGGTTGAAACTTACACTTTACTGCTAGATATTATTTGATGTAAACGGGTAAAGTCTTTTCTCGCATCCTAAATTCGGCTCTCCTCTCTTACCACCCGTGAAGATCCAAGACGAATTGGTTTCAGCAACCCATACTTGTCGGCGACTAATGGGATCGAATGGTCAGGCTCGCTGACCAGGTTTACACATGTCGCAGTATCCCAGTTGCTCAGATCGATGCTCATGTTGTTGATCACTGGATTGTCTGGTCCAGACTTGATTATTTACAGAGCTCGGCCATATAGCTGGAGTATTGCTGAGTGCGGCGTAAAACAACAAAGGAACAATCATCCGTCGTCCGACATTGTATGGATTTCACCTGTTCAGGAAATGGTGGCGGTGGGATAGTCACGTGACTATGTGACTATTAACCTTCTAGCGCCTCAAAGGCAGCTTGGATTATCCCGGATAATACTAATCAGGTTGTTAGCACTATTAGTATTCACCTAGTGAGTGGAGTTTGGCGCCTTATAAATACATGTACTAGTATTATCATTATTATTTCACCTAAGGTGTAGAAGTTGGAGACCAGCATCACCTCACTCACTCCATCACATGAAGCTGACACGTCGTGATGTAACTGGAATACTGATCAAAGCGGTGTTAAATCCAACTCACTCACTCACTGTCATGTCGTTTAGGGTTCCACGCGGGTCCCGGACACGACTTGACAATATTAATCCCTCACGGTTCTCTCTTTACTTGATCCTTGATTCACGCACAAAACGAAAACAGCAAGTTACAAAATGGAAAATATTTATTATGTTGGTAGCAAAACAAATCACTTGACAGCCAGACAGGGTGTCGTGATTACACACAATTCGAACAAAAAAGAAAGCACGGGGTTACTGCTATTTATAAGTCACTGCATCAAGTCATACATTTATTTTTCTCTGAAAACTATGTCAGCACAACACATTCTCCAAAGACGCCAATCATGTTCACGATCAGATACCCCCCTTCTCTTTCATCCTTGATGAAGTAGGGGCGGTGGGGTAACCCAGTGGTTAAAGCGTTGGCTCGTCACGCCGAAGACCCGGGTTCGATTCCCCACATGGGTTCAAAATGTGAAGCCCATTTCTGGTGTCCACGGCCGTGATATTGCTGGAATATTGCTACAAGCGGCGTAAAACTAAACTCACTCACGCCTTGATGAAGTACTGCGTCAAGTAATAAAATGAACATGTCTCTCCATTTGATCACAACATTGCTTCTAAACTCACGTTTCGTTTCCTAGTTAAATAACAAAACCTGTATTAAATGTTAAATTGGAACAAAAATAGGTCTTAATCAAAAACACCCTATTCTGAGTCTCCCTTTTCTCATAAAGGAAACATACTTCATACAACGTTATTAACTGACACTTGTTGCCGACAACCTGTTGCTTTACGATCAACGGTAAATTAATTATAGTGGATTGAATTTTGTTTTAATAAAAACAAGTTGAGTTGAGTATTCAGTGTAACAAATTCTGGAAGCCATCAATAACCAGTTACGAGCACACATTCAACAGAAACACATATATCACATCTTTTTGAGCAAACGGTTGAATAACAATCTTCATTAGCTAATCTTGTTAACATCGGGGCGAGGTTTGTGGAGTAGTCTCCGAACGCACGCTGAATCCCGTAAAAATAACTACGTAATTCATGTGACACATCTTGATTTTTCTAAAACAAAGAAAAGAATAAACAATAAACTACATCTGAAATTTGAAATCGTAAAGATACTGGTATATTAATGTCATGACAACTATCTTGTAAAACTGAAGTTCAATACACAATTTATGTCTGATATATATGTCATTCTCTTTGTCTTGGTATCTATCATCCCGAATCATAATTCGACCTAAATAGTGGGGTAGATAGCCTTATGGTTAAAGTACCGGTCGCCACGCCGAATTACAGTTCTATTCCCCACATGGGTACAATGTGTGGTGCCCCCGCCGTGATATTGCTGCAATATTGCTAAAAGCGGTGTAAAACCATACTCACTCACTCGATTTAAATAGCAGCCGAAGCATAGAGATAATTAAAAAACACCAACAACATGAGAACACTAGCCATGCTTACCTGTTTGGGGTATTGTACGTTCCTTTCAAACATAGACGGGGCGGTGGGGTAGTCTAGTGGTTAAAGCGTTGGCTCGTCACGCCGAAGACCCGGGTTCGATTCCCCACATGGGTACAATGTGTGAAGCCCATTTCTGGTGTCTTCCGCCGTGATATTGCTGGAATATTGCTAAAAGCGGCGGTAAGCCATACTCACTCACTCAAACATAGACGACACCTGTGGGTTATTGTACCTCACAAGACACCCTGTCAATGAAATACGCGTCACTAGCCGATGGTGCGTCGGCCTAGGCGGAAGGCGGCTATCACTTCCTGGTACCCTGATGACGTTTACATTACCCCTTGTTTATTGCATACATCGGTAGCGACGTAAACCGGAAACGACCTTTCGGTGACGGGATCTTGCTGTACATGACCTTGGCATTGGGTATTTATGTGGGAATTGTGAGGGTATGGTATATCATTGAGAAAGTATCTTAAAAAATAGAGATGTTGATAAGTCTCAATGTGTGTTTACATAAAATATGAGCTAGTATCATAAATGCCTCACGAGTCTAATAATTGCTGCACACACAAACAAAATGACGTTTGGAAGAGCACAAAGGAAGGACAGTGAGCACAGTTCTGAACTCCCTCCTGTGGGATCACGTGATGTTGATGTGGAAGTTTCCATGAATGACGATGTCGGATTGGTCCGTTTGAAGATGACGTCACATGTCTCACAGCACGAGCTAGACATGTCCCTGGGACATGTGCTTATAACGTTTTCAGCCAACTGTTGGCACTGGCCAGGGTCCCTGTCACCCCACGGGCAACCTGAGGTAGAGAACAAGATATCATAGATGAACGTAAATTTATGTGCAGTTGATAACTTTAATGTGTTCCCCCAAAAAGGATTCAATCTACAGTGGCATATCCAGAGGGAGGGGTCTCTCTCTCTCTCTCTCTCTCGCTCTCTCTCTCTCTCTCTCTCTCTCTCTCTCTCTCTCTCTCTCTCTCTCTCTCTCTCTCTCTCTCTCTCTCTCTCTCCTCACACACTCACACACACACAAACACACACACACACATCCTTTGAATTTTTTTGAATCCGCCTACGATCTAAGTCTGCATGAAAATCGGTAAACCGTGTTTGAAGCAAATGTCAGAAACGTTTAGTGAGTGAGTGAGTTTAGATATACAGTCACATCGGCAATATTTCAGCCATATCGTGCCTAAAACAAGTTTCAATTCGCCATAATACATGTAAAGTATAAAACACCTGTCAGCAAAGGACAGTAAAACAACTAGATTATCACAATTATGAATATGTAACTAGACGGTAAATTTAAACTATTTTAACTACAGAGGACATTACAATATCAAAACAGGCTATATATTGCTGAAGTTAGATCACAATACTGGAGACCATGGGGACTTACAGTACATTGGCTTCCTGCATGGACATCAGCTGGAGTTACACCATCCCTTCAGCTGTTAGCAAGTTTAGACAATCTAGCCATAAATTACGATTAGAACTCTATAATAAATCTCTATTGAAAGCTGTGGTCTTACGTACCAAGAAACAAGTACCCAATACATATAAATATAGATATACCTAATGTGATGGCTTGGGATAGCTGATTTGAATTTCAGAACCAATAACGATGAAGAGTTTTTGAAGTACATATTACCAGTGTATGAAATAAGGCCCGTCCGACCGCCCGAGACGGGCTAGATATCTGCCGGACGGTCTAATTTTACAGCTAACCAGCCCGATGGACGGGTGACAAAAATATTCAGATAACGTGTCCACTGGCACTGTCTATTTAGTATTAAAGAAGGACTGGTTAAATCTCTTCTGGGCTGGTAAGTTTTTGAAGTTACCAGCCCAGATGTCTGGCTGGGTTTTGGCTTATTTCATACACTGAATTATTATTACATGGTCATTTTGAACATAATGTTAAAATACCTTTTCATATTAAGAAAATAATATTAAAAACTTGGGGTTTCTTTTAAAGACAACTGTAGAGAAACTCCCCGCGAATCCCTATACAGGCGAATATTCAATATACATGTATTTATATTGTATTGGTCTTTGACCTAATAAAAATCTTGTCTTGTCTTGGCCTATAGCCCTATGAGCTTCCAAATTGCATCATGTTTGGAATAGTAGGTTGTACTATATAGTAATAGAGAGAGAGACAGACAGGAGTATTCGTTGATAGAAATGGGAAAAAAACAACACTTTCTTTGAAAGACATGAACTTACTGGGTGCCGACACTGTTTTCACCTCCTCGCACGTGCGGCAACACGCGTTATAGACATCGGTCCGGTAACACGTGTATTTGCCTGCTGACGCCACATAATCTGGACACGTGATACTCTCGATCTCTGATTGGTCCCGACATCGGACTTCCGGTGTGGAAGTGAGTCTCGGGTCTGGCGTTGTTGTGGGCGGGGCGTAGTTGCATGTGCCACAGCAATCGGTATTGTACAATGTCCCGTCTTTGAACTTGCGTCCGCAGTAATCTGGCTGACAGTCCAACACACGGTCTCCGTACTCGCACCCTAGGGAGACAAGGCTGGATTCAGAGACACATTTGACACTCTCACTTACTAAATTGGTTTGTTTGTTGTTTGAAGCCGAACTCAGCAATATTCCAGCTGTATGACGGCGACCTGTACGTAATCTATTCTGACATCAGTAGTTGATATCGTGAGCATCGATCTATTGGGATACGATGGCATCAACCACGTCGGCATGTCTGACTACCCGATCCCGTTATTCGCCTCTCATGGCAAGTGTGGGTTGCTGAACATCAATTCTAATCCGGATCTTCACTCGTCAGTGGGTAGCAGAGCGGTGGGATAGCCGAGTGGTTAAAGCGTTCGCTCGTTACGCCGAAGACACAGACTCGATTTCTCACATGGGTACAATGTGTGAAGCCAATTTCTGGAGTTCTCCGTCGTGATATTGCTAGAATATCGCTAAAAGCGGTGTGAAAACATACTCACTCACTCACTACATCTGCACATACTAAATATGTGTAGATGGACGGTAATGCTTGACAACACCAAACAGTGGTGTTTTGTTCAGTGATGTTGCTCTGTGCCTACCATACACTCTGGAGTTGATGCCGTCGCATGAGGAACAACAACGTGTCCGGAAGTCCTTCACGTAGCAGTACCCAGAAGCCTCTGCGACAATCTGTTTACATGTCTTGCCCCCGGACACCACGCCAGTCTGGTCACCGAATGGACATCCGGCTGAAACAGGTTTATGATACAGTAGGGCCTATTCGATTATGCTAAACAGGTTTTGGTTTCTGGAAAACCATGCGCTCGATTATGTCGAAACCAAAAACTGGGTTCTGAAACTTCGAAACCATCTCCGAGGCAGGTTTCGCAGTTTCGGTTTCGCGTTCTCTCATAACAAACATGGCGGAAACCACCAGGCCGAGCTGCATTTGCAAGCGCCAAGTTCAGCTGATCTTGGTGGCAAAATAGAGCAGCAGTTTCTGTAACCAAAATAATGATAAAAATCAACTGAGAACTAGGAAAATATTATTCAAAACCCCAGGCTACTGAACATGACTATTTTATGTAAATTGTATACATATAATTACTTGTAACAGTATAATTATACGCAAATATGTACCTCCAAAAGCATCTTATCTCTTTATTATTTGTTAATTAACTGTTAAATAAATAAAAAAAATATGCTGCAATCAAATTCATTCCACATATATAGTAGCTGGGACATTTTGGGGAATCCATTTTGAAACCGGATGGTGAAACCATCCACTCGTATATAAAAATAGAATTTAGTTTCACTTTGAAACGATGTATCCGAAACTAGACACTCGTTAATAACAGGAGAAACCAGTTTCAGAAACCAAAACCAGTTTCGCAATAATCGAACAGGCCCTAAAACTAACATTTGTAAGATGATATAGTTTATCCCCCACACATAGATCACACAATCATGCGATTAGTGATCAATAATCACTAATGTTTACTGCCATGGATTCAACCACAATCTTCCCATGGGGAATATATGTCATTTTTACAGATCACCCAGTACTTTTATCGAAAATTCTGCTAAAAATATGGCTCAAAGTCACGGTAAGAAAACCTCATGCAGACTGCGCAGTTACAGTTTTTGACTGTTTTCAGTGGTGGTGTTAAAAGTTGACACGTGCATATCACGAAAAGGAAAAAGAAACCTGAAAATATATTTGCTTTTTATTTCCATGTGTAGATCCGCGCATGTATACACGCAGCGGTAATGGACCAAGGTGTATGCGTTAGTGATGACTGGGGTTGGGGGTGTTGTTTCTTTGTTATTTTACGCCGCACTCAGCTATATGACACTGCTCTGTAAACAATCGAGTCTGGACCACACAATCCAGTGACCAACAGCTTGAGCATCGATCTAAACATTTGGGACACGATGACGTGTGTCAACTAAGTCACCGAACCTGACCACCCGATTCCGTTAGTCGCCTCTTACGACAAACATGGGTTACTGAAGATCAATTCTAACGTGGATCTTCAGGGGTGTTGGTTTTGGGTGATGGAGGTCCGGGATTGGAGGGTCCGGGTGGTTGGGGGTCGGTTTGGGGTACGTGATCCATCAGTCAAAGATGGGGAGATTACATTGATGACTTGTGACAAACTGATCCTTAATCCACAATTTCGTGTCGTGTCCTCACACCTGTCTACTTACCTAGCCTGTGGGGAGCGTCGACATGACCAACACACCGTCCTTCCACACACCACTGCAACATCACGAAGAAAATAGTTCACGGAAGTACATTAAGTCAACATTAAAAAATAATAATAAGTCCATTTGTATAGCGCCCTATATCCAATCACCAGGTGGTTGCTCCTGGCATGGCGTTGACATGGATACATATTTCCAATGAATGAATGAATGACAATTTATTTGTATAGCGCCTAATATCCAGGTTATTTTCTGCTCAGTGGCGCTTTACAGAAAAATTACACAATGATTAGAAAAAAACAAAAACAAAACAGTAATGCTTAAAAAGACAGTAAAAGCTAAGATGCTGAATATGGGGGGGGGGAGGATTCAAAGCTAAAATATTGTTTGAATAGGTGTGTTTTAAGTTTTTTTGGAATGAATCCCTTGATTTTGCACTTTTCAGTTCAGCTGGAAGTTCATTCCACAACGCTGGGGCTGCAACTGTAAAACACCATTTTAGTGGTGGTTCTGGGGATGGCAAGATCATTCAAAGCACTGCTGGATCGAAGAGTTCTGTTTGAAGTTTTGTACGAAATTAGGCATCTTAGATACTCAGGAGCAGTGGGATCATTCAGGACTGAATATGTAAGAGAAAGCAGCTTATAGGTGACTCGTTGCTGTACAGGAAGCCAATGTAGCTCCCGCAGGATTGGTGTGATTTCATAGTGCTTCCTGGAACCCGTGATGAGACGAGCAGAGCTGTTCTGTAGATGCTGTAGGAGTTTGATGTTTGAGCTTGATGTTCAATAAAGCAGCGAGTTACAGTAATCAAGGCGGGATGTGATACTAGCTTGCACAAGAGTTTTCAGACAATCCACAGTCAGATATTTCTTGATGTTGCTGATATTGTAGAGACAGAAAGAGATAGAACGACAGAGGGATCTCACGTGGGGTTGGAAAGAAGAGGATGGATCAAACATCACACCGAGATTCCGCATAGCTGAGCTGGGACTGACAGAGCTGTCGTCAATGGTGATGCTGAGGGGTGGGACTTTCAGTCGTTGTTGCTGTGAGCCAATAATCATGAATTCGGTTTTTCGTCATTCATTTTCAGAAAATTGGACTTAACCCAGGAGCGCACCTCTGCGATACAGGTCTCTAGCTGGGTTTTCCGATCACTTAATTGGGATGCTTTTGCACTGATGTACACTGGGCTGTCATCTGCGTAAGTTTTGAAGGGAATGGAATGGCTCCTGATGACGTTACCGAGGGGAAGTGTGTACACAGTAAACAACATGGGTCCCAGAACCGAGCCTTGCGGGACACCGAATTGCATCTTGGACACAGGTGATCGATGGCCATCGACTTGCACCTGCAGATGACGATTTCCTAAGTATGATCGGAACCACTCAAGAGCGGTACCCGTAATGCCTAGTGTGTGCTCCATCCTCCGAAGAAGGACATTGTGGTCCACGGTATCAAAAGCAGCGGACATGTCCAATAACACCAGCAGTAACAGTTCTTGGTCGTCTAGGCTTTTGGCAATGTCATTTTGCACGCACAGAAGGGCGGTCTCAGTGCAGTGTTTCTGTTTGTAAGCAGACTGAAATACTTCCAGCAGTTCATTGTCTTTAAGATGTTGTTGAAGCCTGGATGCAATGATATTTTCGAGGACTTTAGATAGGAAAGGGAGATTAGAAATAGGTCTGTAATTCTTCATTACAGTGCTATCTAGAGAAGGCTTCTTTAAAAGCGGGGTTACCAGAACCAACTTGAACTTGTCAGGCACAACACCGTCGCATAAGCAGGAGTTCAGAATATAGGTAACAGCTGGGGCCAGAGAATCACAGCAGGATTTAAACAGTGATGTCGGCAAGGTGTCAAGAGCACAGGACTTTGTAGGTGATTTCTTGATGATGTTTGAACACTCGGACACTGTAAGGGGACGGAAACGACAAAGCTCGGTGCCAGTGAACTGTTGGTCATGATCCAGTGCCGTGAAATCCGAGGGTGATAAAGAGAGAGATTCCCGAAGGGTTTGGACTTTATCCAGAAAAAAGGAAGCGAAGTTGCCTGCCCTTACTTCACACTCAGCAGCGGAAGGAAAGGATATGTGACAATGAGGCTTTAGTAACTTGTTTGCTATTTTTAAAAGTTCTTTTGGATTGTGTTTATTGTCAGTTATTTTAGTGTTGATATCACTTCTTTTGGCCTCTGCAACCCATTCTTGTCATAAAAGGCGACTATGCTTGTCGTAAATGCGACTAACGGGATCGGGTGGTCAGGCTCGCTGACTTGGTTGACACATGTCATCGGTTCCCAATTGCGCAGATCGATGCTCATGCTGTTGATCACTGGATTGTCTGGTCCAGACTCGATTATTTACAAACCGCCGCCATATAGCTGGAATATTGCTGAGTGCGGCGTAAAACTAAACTCACTCACTCACTCTTTTGGCCTCTCTGATAAGATTTGTGAGTTTGTTTCTTTTCTGTTTGTAGATTTGACGACTGATCTCAAGTCTATCGTTCCTCCATCTCATCTCTGCCTTGCGCTTTTCATGCTTAGCAGTCTGGATTTCTGGAGACATCCACTTTGTGTTAGGCCTCATGACAACTCGCTTCTTGATTAGAGGAGCTTGATTGTCTAACAGTGAAGTAACGATGGAATCAAACTCATCAACCATAGCATTTACAGATTGACAACATGCTATTTTTCCACTGACATTAGAGTCAGCAACATCACCATCAAACTGGGCAATATCAACTTGTTTTAGTTTCCTGTTTATAATATCTTTGTAGACAGTGTTCGGTCTCTCACACTTCAAAGTAACAAAGAGAGAATGGTGATCGGATATCATGTGATCTTCTGTCCCAGCATGAGTCGGTCCACTGAACGTATCAGATCATCTGTTTCCTTAGTGATTATCAGATCTAAGGTGTGACCACCAGCATGAGTCGGTCCACTCACATGTTGTTTCAGTCCAAATGCATACAGCATTTCCATGAATTGCTCTGCCTGCTTGTGTGTAGTATCATCAACATGAATGTTAAAATCTCCTGCTATCATCATTTGACCACTGCAGTTTGAAGCAGATTCTAACAGATCAGAGAAATCTGTTATGAATGTAGAGAAAGTAATGTTGTTTTTAGATGTTGGAGGTGGTCTGTACACAGCCACAACAAGTACCATTTCATAGTTATTGCTGAGAGTTACATCCATGGAACTTTTATAACGATGAGAGGTAACATTTTGGGAATTGGCTTTTGTAGACGATGGCGACTCCACCACCAGATCGCCCTTGGGATACGATGGCATCAACCACGTCGGCATGTCTGACTACCCGATCCCGTTATTCGCCTCTCATGGCAAGTGGTGGTGGTGGAATTGGGTTTAACGTCGTGGTTGAGAATACTTCGCTCATATGACAACGTTGGGGCTGCAACTGTAAAACACCATTTTAGTGGTGGTTCTGGGGATGGCAAGATCATTCAAAGCACTGCTGGATCGAAGAGTTCTGTTTGAAGTTTTGTACGAAATTAGGCATCTTAGGTACTCAGGAGCAGTGGGATCATTCAGGACTGAATATGTAAGAGAAAGCAGCTTATAGATGACTCGTTGCTGTACAGGAAGCCAATGTAGCTCCCGTAGCATTGGTGTGATTTCATAGTGCTTCCCGGAACCCGTGATGAGACGAGCAGAGCCGTTCTGTAGATGCTGTAGGAGTTTGATGTTTGAGCTTGATGTTCCATAAAGCAGCGAGTTACAGTAATCAAGGCGGGATGTGGTACTAGCTTTCACAAGAGTTTTCAGACCATCCACGGTCAGATATTTCTTGATGTTGCTGATATTGTAGAGACAGAAAGAGACAGAACGACAGAGGGATCTCACGTGGGGTTGAAGAGATAAGGATGGATCAAACATCACACCCAGATTCCGCACAGCTGAGCTGGGACTGAGAGAGCTGTCGTCAATGGTGATGCTGAGGGGTCGAACTTTCAGTCGTTGTTGCTGTGAGCCAATAATCATCAATTCGGTTTTTTCGTCATTCATTTTCAGAAAATTAGACTTAACCCAGGAGCGCACCTCTGTGATACAGGTCTCAAGCTGGGTTTTCCGATCAATTAATTGGGATGCTTTTGCACTGATGCACACTGGGCTGTTATCTGCGTAAATTTTGAAGGGAATGGAATGGCTCCTGATGACGTTACCGAGGGGAAGTGTGTACACAGTACACAACATGGGTCCCAGAACCGAGCCTTGCGGGACACCGAATTGCATCTTGGACACAGGTGATTGATGGCCATCGACTTGCACCTGCAGATGACGATTTCTAAGTATGATCGGAACCACGTTAAACCCAATTTGTGTGCTCCATCCTCCGAAGAATGTCATTCTGCACACACAGAAGGGCGGTCTCAGTGCTGTGTTTCTGTTTGTAAGCAGACTGAAATACTTCCAGCAGTTCATTGTCTTTAAGATGTTGTTGAAGCCTAGATGCAATAATTATTTCGAGGACTTGAGATAGCAAAGGGAGATTAGAAATAGGTCTGTAATTCTTCATTACAGTGCTATCTAGAGAAGGCTTCTTTAAAAGCGGGGTTACCAGAACCAACTTAAACTTGTCAGGCACAACACCGTCGCATAAGCAGGAGTTCAGAATATAGGTAACAGCTAGGGCCAGAAGAATCACAGCAGGATTTAAACAATGATGTCGGCAAGGTGTCAAAGAGCACAGGACTTTGTAGGTGATAGGAAGCTCTTATTTTGTGCTCTGAACTGTTCAAGTCCACACTCACTAAAATTTACACCTTTAGGTTTTGTACATGGTGTAGCTTTGTGTCTGTATGAAGATGAGACAACTTTTATACGATGCTGTACTTTCCTACCTCCTCTGTATCCCCTCCCTCGACAATAGGGATATGGCTTTGTTATTCCGCATTTATCACAAGTATTACATACGTAACAACTTGGTGTGACTGCTTTTGGTTTTAGTTGAAGTAAATCCAGCCTTGAGTAGTTCATTCGTGTTGAGTAACGATTCATTGTCTCTCCAATCAGGCTTGGGTTGATGATCTCACCAACAGCAGAGATGCCAACACTATTTTGGGCCTAAGTGTAATAATAGAGGTCAAAAAGTGTAATTTGGACCTAAAAAGTGTAATACTTGTCTGCCGATCGCTTCAACATGGTACACGTTTTCACGAAAGGAAGATTCTAGACAGAAACACATGTGACCAATCATTATGAAGCTCCATACATTGAAAATTGTTGGTCATGTGACTCAAAATACTTTAATTCCTTGCAAGTTTATTGGAATGAGTGCGATGCTAAGAGTAAGCGATTCCTATCGATGCAAGGCCATTTCTGCACCCCTTCACCTGTGCGTTACGAAACACTCCCCTTTGAAATTTTACCCACTTTATTAATTTTCGTAAAACGAGTAGAAAAGTGTAATTTTCGCAGATTAAGTGTAATGGCGTAATATACTGGTCAAAATGGTATTAATTACGCCTAAAGCGTAAGGGTTGGCATCTCACCAACAGCCCTGGTCTGGTGTGGCTGAACAGTGTAATGTCACTGGCCTTTGTAACTCTGTAGATTTGAAAGGTGCGCTTGGGTGTTCACTCCCAGCAGGTTGAAAACACACACAAATATTGACGATAATTTGATGAAAATCCACATTTCGAAGTCCATTTAACGTCTGAAAATTTCACAATTGGTAGTCCACATGTTGATAAGCATCCATGCCAAAAAATAGCAATAGGATACTTGAATAAACCATTGAAATGTGCAAAAATTGTCAGAGCAAATTGACTGCTGCCGCTACTCAGCGCATGCACTACACAGGAGTTCAGTTAAATAATGTTTTATCATACTGCTTCTTGAAAAGGAAAGTTTTAAGGGTTAGACTGGAAGCTGGAATTTAGACAGTACCCTACATACGAAAACCTTTTGGGATTCCAGGTTAGAAATAGGTCGCCAGCAACCTTTTATAGTCAGTAAAAAGGTAACCTGACAATTGGTGAGGTCAGGCCATTCACCACAGTTGGTTGCATATCATCGTATCCCATAGTAGAGACGCGGTGGGGCAGCCTAGTGGTTCCAGCATGTGAAATAATTGAAGTATTGTTCCAAATGGCGTTAAACATAACTCACTCACTCAGCCACTGTAATTTCACCTACCCTCTTGTTACCGCATGATGTCCCCCCTTGCGGCAGAATGAAGAACGCACTTGTTTGCTGTTTTGGGGTTCCGGCAAAACATGGCGCGGCATATGTCGGTGGCGTCGCCGAAATTTTCACCCTGGCAAATAGACAAATACTGTCAGGAAATGCCGTCAAATAGGTATATTATATTGTATAAAGGAAACAGGAAAAAGCATCCTAATAAAACTACCAAAGGTGGATCAAAGGAATATATAATTACAGATTTGAGAATATATACTTGAACCAGAATCTAGATTCCAGATCTAGAATCGTTCTAAAAGGCTCCGATACAACAGAATCTAGAATAGCGGGTTTCGGACTAACGGGTTTCAGACAAGGTTACGGTCTAACGTGGTTTGAATTTGCTTACCCTGCAGAGGTATGAGGTAGGTCCATATATGTGTCTACACTGCTCGTCAGGCCCTAGGAGCTGGCCCGCCATCTCGCCTGTGATGTTAGGCACCCCAATAGGAGTTAGCTTTGACCGGAAACACGTCGACTCCTTACTGAAAACAGAAAAGCTTCTGATTTTTTATTTCAAATTTACTTTATGTTTTTTCACTTTAATTTTCTAAAGTTTCATTACACATATTGTCCATGGTAATTTATACAGTTTGATGAAATGTAGATTTATTTTATTTTTTGTTGATATTTTGTTTCAGTTTTGGTTTTACAGGAATGTTCATTATAGAAAAAGATGTACTGCATTTGACAGCACCTACTTGTTGTAGAAGATGATATATAATAATTTGTAAAAACAATTGAAAGATTAATTATGCCACATCCATGTCTACAATTAAATCAGGAAATGTTCTGGTATTCTACACATCAGTCATATAATACGAACAATTCCGTCACAATGTCCATGTTGAGACATGTACATCACGTGATCTTTGATTGACAGACAGCTATCAGGTTTGACTGGCATATCTGGGTTTCCGTGCACATTGTTCCCGACAAGTAGTAAATGTCACTATGCAGTGCACACAACCTACACGTTGTTAATGACGCTGTCGATGTACACTTTGAAGTAGTTGATGCTGCACGGGGAGAACCTCCACGGATTATATTTATTCGCGGAAGTTTCGTTGTACGATGCCCCTGCCATGAGGTATCGATCCGACGGCGCGCAGCTGTTGTTCAGTCCGTCATGCTCGGCACCTAGACTGCAGAGTACAAATGATTATAATGTAATAATGTAATATAAATGATTGAAAATATTTTTTTAAATATTAGCTTCTGATTTACACAATAGTGAGTGAGTTCCAATTTACGCCGCTTTTAGCACAGTATTCCAGCAATATCACGGCAGGGGACACCAGAAATGGGCTTCGCACATTGTGCCCATATAGGGAATCGAACCCGATTCTTCGGCGTGACGAGCGAACGCTTTAACCACTAGGCTACCCCACCGCCCCGATTTACACAATACAAGAGAAATAAAGAGGTCAAAAATCTGTCCCTCTCCTCTCTCTTGAGAGAAGCATTGTGTGTCAAAAAGAGGTAGCCAATGCTACATTCCGTGGCTCAAATGGACCGACCAACTTATATTATTTAGTTTGGACGTGGAAATGGGCAGGGATTTTATCGAAACTCAATTTGTTTCACAAGAAATTGTAAGCAACAAAACTCGTATCGTTGCAAAATGATTTTTGTCATGATTTCGGTTAATATTTGGTTAACAAAAATGTGGTTCTGCATCTGTGTCTAAAAATATCCAATCCATGCAAAATATCAGACATGTTCCAGAATATCCAAATGAACAGTCGTTAACAAAAATGCAAACCAAAAGATACCACCCATCAAATGTTTAGACTCACTAGTCTAATTATAAATGTAGCCATTTACTTCAGTCAATTGTTCAAAACTAATTTTTGCAAAATATTCCTTACTTTTTAAAGGAACTGTTTACACATGAACTGATGTATTGTAAAACAAATTCGTAACGTTGAAAAGATTATTGTTATGAGTTCAATAAATGATGAAACTCAGGGAAAATTGGCGAATTCATAACAAAACTTTCACCTAAACGCTGCTGTTCACATGCACTATGCGTGCACATGGTTTTCAGTAATTTGATGCATGATTCACGTGCAATTCATCTGCATATGGTTTGCTGTTGGTTACCCAAGTTAGTGGAGAAATTCATCTCCGATGTAACCACATATAAAGTGAGTGCTTTAAGTGAGTTTAAACTTTTGATGGGTAGTACAAAATCATGGCAGTAATGATTTAAAATCGAGTGAGTGAGTTTAACGCCGCTTCTAACAGTATTGGCGACCTAATGTGGAATGAAAGACCAAAGGGATGCCGGTCTCAGACGTTTGCCTCTTTGGCGAGACCCAAGACCTGGGTGCTGACAAATATTGAAACATAGCCTTGGCGAACCGGGCTTCGAACCTGCGTTCATAGGTTCCTTATGTGCCTAAGGCCCGCAACTATTGGCCTAAAATTGCGGCGCCTCAGAATTGAATTCTTTTCGCTCTGTGCGATCTATGCCAATTATGAAAAATAAACATTTGGCAAAATTAACATCCAAAAATGCCGACATCTTTCTACTTTTAACAAAATGTGTTATTTGTACATTAAACGAGTGCGATGACAATATATTCGCAGAACTGACCTATGCCCCAGCTCGTGAGCTGCTGTACCAACACTCTGGAAACCCCCATGGTCCTCAACGACGGAAACACTTCGACCTTCACCTTGACACATAGTTCCAATAAAAGCCAAACCTAAGGAACATAAAAAAATATATTAATATTTAAAAATGTTATGTTTTACAACCGCAAAAGTAACATTTCACATGAACATGACAAAAATATAACAAACAATTATGCTATAGCAGGCCATGAGCCGTTCAGACACACTACCCAAGAGTACACACACTTCGTGACACCAGCAGACAGATTACCGGTACTTCTGACGCTGTGTAGAATGTTTTGCTCAATATTTTCACCGCTTGTTTCCCATTTGCACCCATGGGACATATTTTAGCATTTAATCGTGACTGCATTTTCCCCGGCGTTGACGTACGTTTTACATTTAAACGTGGAGAACGGAAAATTTTAAGCAGATAAATGTTGCCTTTGTGCATGAGCTAACCTGTTGTATAGTTCGAGCTAAAGCCACTGTCTTCACCGAACAGGTCATACCTGTAAAAAATAAATTTAAATTTATCGCGCATTTCATGAATCCACATATTCAGGGGTGGAAATAACCCATTACCCGACGTCCGAGTCCAGTGTTTTTTTCTGTCGGGCAAGCAAATTTGTATATCACACTGTACCGGTGTCCAGTTGACTTTCCAATGTTAATTATGTTGTTTATTTAAAAATCAACAAGAAAACGGTCGGTATAGTGGAAAAATTATCAGGGCAAGTGAGTTTACATGTGCCACTGAACCGGAGTACACTATCAATTTTAAAGGTATTTCCATCCCTGCATATGCCTTGAGACAGAATAACCCTTGTAATTCAACTGCATTGTAGCTACAAACTTGTTTTAATTATGAAAAAGAACCTAAGAAAACGGAAATGAATTTACCTGTGCTCATTCTCAGCTCTCATCCAGATGGTATCACTCCTTTGTGAAGTGTAATAAATAACTCCATCAAGGAGTTAGAAAGAGAACCTTTCTTGCTAGGTGCGGAGACGTGTTTCAGTTGTTGAATGAACATGGAATACAACTGGGCATATGTATTACTCAAAAGGAGTGAAGGAACACTGAATCATCCAAAATAATACAGTTAACCTAATCACGAATCATTCGTATTATCGTCGGTTAAGACATTTTGGGACATTTTACGTCTTCTGACGTTCGTGTTCATTGCGATTTCTCACGCTATAAAAGGGGTGTTCACGTTACCCAATAGGGACAACATATCGAATAATTAGCGAAAGAAACTGTTACCCAGTAAACAGAATGACGTGGTCATGGCGGGGCATGTTGGGGACGCTGGTGACCCACGTCTTCAGGGACTCGAGGAACGTCGTCAGCGTTCACATGTTCGCGGCCGTTCCTGAACGTCTTTGTCTTCTCCGTCCACGGAGAGGCAACTCCAGTCTGGGGTATAGAGAAAGGGTGTGTTCGTCAGTGCAAAGGGATTTCGCAGTAATTATTTTTCGTTATGAGAAAAAAATATCAAGCGACTTATTTTTCATAGAATATTCACCTTAAGCAAACTCATCCTCTTTTCAAGGGTGTATTACGTACCTGAGCGATGACGTAGCCTATAAGCCGGACATTGATCCTGAAATCCACGTCCTCCATTGCCTTGTACCGCAGATCAACCTGTCAATCATTCTTAAATATAGGTATTAAAATGAAACTGGCTAATGATCAGCTATATTTTTAGATATTTAAACAAAAATTCATATTTTGTTCCAATGTTTTATCTTTACACAAGTTTCCCCTGTCTGTATATAGGTTTATAGAAAGGGCGTTTTAAGCTAGACAACTTTTGCTCAATCTATGGACAGGTTTACCTAAACTTCAACTTAATCAGACATGTTTTGAGTTTCATGTCAGAAAACTGGAGCAGCGTGTTTGAAAATATCACGCTGAGTTGTCAGCGCACGTCGACCCCGACAACAGGCAACCTGAACAAGCTGAGAGGTTGCTCCAGACGCGATGTAATTCGACCAAGCAATGAAACATACATGTTGCGTTTCTAAAGCAGCTCAGTATATATCCGTGCAATTATTAGCAAATATATAACTATTCAAAAACTACTCGATAAAAACAGAACAGTGAGTAAGTAGTGTAACATTGGTCATAAACTTTAATTAATTAATTTATAAGTTAATTACTCACCCCGTTAATAACATGCGCAAAGTACCGACGTATATTTGCCAGCGCGTTATCGACAATGTTGTTACTCTGTGTCACCCACCTGCACAACGGAAAAACGGAAAAATATTTTTGGAGAATGTCAACATATTCAGCTTCAATAGCTTTGCAAGGAAAACCAAAAAACATTAACCAAGTTGATCAACGCATGGCGCAGATGGTAAAAAATATCCCTTTTTCGAAATCTGTCAACAGATAAACACGAAAACAGTGCTCCATCGCACGTGTTCTCGTTGACACACCCAACGTAGATGTTCAAACATCACGTGTGCAGATAACTTTACAATCACTTTATTTTGCATGAAACTAATTCAAAGTTTGTCGGGCTTACTTTCATCAAAATATTGAAAGGAGCCGGATTTGTTTGTGACGACGGTCGATCTACGAGAGAGTATTTTTTGTAACCAAATACCACCGCTTACGTATGCTATAAAGAATACCTTTTCTAAACCTTCGAACATGCATGTAAATATGTTTGTTTGTAATATAAAATGGAAAGTTAAAAGAACTATAAAAATTGGAGCACTTGATGAGTTCACGCCTGACATATCATCTATAATTTTAACTCTCAATGTGAAGTAAAAACGATCTTTAGCATTTTGTGTGTGTTAACATATATCAACTCACTAATCTCCTATCGATCATACTGTTTTTACGAAATATGTGTCAACAGTCGTGATCAATTACATATAACTTCATATCTCTATTGGGCGTAAAGCCTACCCCCGATATATAGCGAAATCAACAACCACCACACAGTCCACGAAGTAATCGGATACGGCTGCACGTGAAGTCCGTGCACTATGTGACGCACGTGCATCTGCAGTCGACGTCTCGCGTCGCGTGCGATGAATATCTGAAATATGACGTAGAAGACAATTTAAATGATCTTCTTGTTGACGATACAGTAGTCATTTCATTCTAATACGAGAGCTTGGTCCAAATACACCATGGCCTGGTCGCTGGTGATTGGTCGATGAATTGTTGAGGGCGTAGCCCAAGACGCAAAAATTCATCGACCAATCAACAGCGACCAGGCCGTGGTGTATTTGGACCAAGCTCGAGTGATTGGATGAAGTAACTACTTTGTACCACGCCCACATTCTGCATTCAAATTTCGAAATCTGAGCGGGATATTTGAATTTAAAATTATAACATAGTTGACGGGCGGTGGGGTAGCCTAGTGGTTACAGCGATCGCTCGTCACGCCGAGGGCCCTGGTTCGATTCCCCACATGGGTACAATGTGTGAAGCCCATTTCTGGTGTCTCCCGCCGTGATATTGCTGGAATATTGCTAAAAGCGGCGTAAAACCTCACACACTCACTCACTCACTCACAAATAGTTGACGAGATTGAAGCTGCTGAACTCTGGGATGACACAATCGATGACCAGAAATGTATTTTCAATAATTATTGAGTTCCAAAAACTGTGAAAGTACGTATAAAATGTAAATACTTCGTGATTGATTCAAACGTTTAATGATGTATTTGTCACCGTGTTTCTGACAAAGTTGTCATTATTTTCACTAAAATAGAAAAACAAATGCTGGTTGTCTTTTTAGAAGGTTTACATCAATTTTAGTCAAACAGTTAGGTTTGTTAAACGTAGGCGTGGCTAAAATTGCAAAGAGCCAATCAGAGAGTTGCTGTCGAAGGCGGCTCAAAACCGCGGTGTAACTATACAATACACCATGCTGAGATCAAAGGGACCGCAGTCTGGGCACGGTACAACGTCTTCCATCTTTCACTTTTATGAAACTAATGAAGCCACAATAAGCAGACATTTATTTACCTTTTATTTGATCTACAACCTCATCTGGTGCCAGCGTTAAGCTATATGTATGATGTCTGTTCTGAGATGAAAATGTGGCGTCCCGCCTCCCGCGATGACCGACGTGCACTTTGCTTAACATGTATCTCCTTCCATCAAGGTACAATGTTCCTTCCTAAAAGCAACGTTGTAAACAAAACTGAGATCTACATTAATGTCTCACCTCCAGCAACTCATTTTAAATATAGAAATCATAAAGATATTCTGAGATATTCAAAGCGCTAAAACGAGACACATTCTAAAAATCACATTATTGCAGTTGAGGAGGATGACAAACAATGGATGATATGATACAATAATGTATTTATGAATATCAATGGACCGCTCTGTACCTAATCAATTGAACCTACCGATAAAATAGGATGATATGGCGTTAAACGTCTTAATCACGATTTTTGAACTTAGGCCACATTGAAAATTATTCTTGTTTTTCATCATTTTTTCAAACAAATATGGGGCGGGCGGATTATATTTTTACATTTTATTTTATTTCATTTCCAAAACCCCTTGATTTCTGTGGAAAGTTACACCTTTTCTCCGATAGAAAATCAAAACTTAGAAGTGTGAAAAATGCCTGCACGTTTTGAGAGTCAAAGTCGAATTTTCTCTAGTGTTAATTGTTTTTAAAATCTTAGTGTCGGGTCGAATTTTGGGGTCGGGCGGTAACGAGAAACAAGAATATTTTTATATATGGTCTTATACATTGTGTAATTGCTAATAATGTCGTTTCATAGAACTAGCTCAATGAGATATCATGGAAACACAAAATGGTATTATATCTACCTAAATACCACTTCATAAAGTAAAGTAAAAAGTGAAGCCCTTTCTCCATTCCCAACAATTCAGGGGAAAAGTCCTCGGAAAACAAAATCCGCAATCAAAAGTGTTTAGTCTCTGTTCAGCCCGATTTGGCCCGTGGTGTCAAAAACAACCTAAACCTCACACGTGTATCTTGAAATGTGTTTATATCCATAGATTAGTAATATATGTACCTACATACCACTTTACAGAGTCTCAAAGCGGAGTATTTGAAGCAATAACGTTGCTGAAAGTGAAGCTCTCTGTTCTACATATTCTCAACAAAGACACTTTATCACAAGCGTTCGGTCAGCCTTGGCTCGGGCTCTCAAAAACAACTTTCACCCAACACATGTATCCTGATTTGTGTTTAATTCCATAGATTAGAATTATATCTACTTAAATATCAATGTGTGATGTTACAAAATGCCACATGTAAAGATAACTGGTTCGGTAAAGTGAAGCCCTTTTGTCTCCCCAAACACAACATAGCCTCAATCAAAAGTGTTTAGTCGCTGTTCAGCCCGACTTGGCCCGTGTTGTCAAAAACACCTTTAACCTCACACATGTATCCTGATTTCTGTCTATATCTCTAGAATAGAGTTATATCTACCTAAGTACGTCTTTATAGAGTCTCAAAACGTAGTATTTGAAGCAAACACGTTACTTAAAGTGAAGCCCTAATTTCTATACATTCTCAACAACCACATAGTATAACATGCTTTCGGTCCGGCTTGGCCCGGGCTCTCTAAAACACCTTAAACCTGACACATGTATCCTGATTTGTGTTTAAATCCATAGATTGGTATTATATCTACCTAAATACCTCTTTATTGAGGCTCAAAGCTTTGAACATGTATGTGAATCTAACACGTTGCTTAAAGTGAAGCCCAGTGTTCAATCTGGCTCTGTGCGGGCTAATGAAATTAATACACCTGTTAATTACACCTGTATCCAGCTTGCTTAATTGCCCCTTGACTAATTGCAATCAGCTAGGTGTTGTGATTCAATTAACATACTCCATTGGTGCCCTTAATTACCGTTCAGGGGCCTTCAGTGTTATTTATTATTACTCCACCGTTTCTTCATAACGTTTATCACAGAGGGGCATGTAATCACTGACTAAATTAGTAATGCTAAAAATGAGACATTTGTTCTGTTATATATATAGGCTGTGGAAGCATAAATAATTATATATATATATATATATATATATAATCATTTATGTTTCCACTCGTGTTATGTTCCAGAGTATAAACATTAATGAATACTAGTTCCGATACAGATGGCAGGCTGAAGCTATTCGTGATATGATTTACACATATAATTAACTTAATAAATATCAGAAGATATTATACCCAATTATATGACATGAAATGCTTGAAAGAGGTGGGTTTTTTTAGTGGTTTCAGAATACAGGATGTTCTCCGTACAGTTTCCTCTGTATAAACATCAATTCATACTAGTACAGATATAGATAGCCGGCTGAAGCTATTCATGACATGATTTGAACATATCAGTAATTTAATAAATATCAGAAGGTATCAGCTAAAATGACTTGCCGTATGAGATGTTATGGTTATATAATTTGAACATACGAAAGTATGAAAATACATCCACGGCAATGACACTGTGTTGCCCAGCTCAGGCTCGGGAGAACATTGTTTTCACTGTGAGAGCTTTGCCAAAGGTTACTCTGAGATGCCGTTTCCTGATGTTGTAAACTTTAAGCGTTTCAGATAATCCTGTTTTCCTGAACACGCATACAGACAATAGAAGTATTAGAGAGAGCAGTG